AAAGATAAAAGTTGGGCCAACGTGTTTGCATGCATGTAGAGAAAAATATTGGTGGTTTTTTTTTTGCTGGAAAAAAATGTTGGTGGGTTGTTTTGGGAAATATATCCAGGAATACGATTGTTCTAGGAAAAGTAAATAAAAAAGGAAAAGGCAGCACTCTATTCCATATGATATGAGACTGTTTTTTTCTTCAACCGAAGGGGACTTCAATTTGTAGACTAATGATCTCAAGTTCAAATCTTCATGACACATTGGTAGTGTGTGAAAAGCTCCCAGTATCGCATGTATTAAAGGAAAAAAAACCACATTGGTAGTGTGTGAGATATGAGACTGTTTCTTTAACTACTTTTTATTTTCTGGTGGTGTAGCTACTTTCTATTTCACCATAAGGATTATAAGAAGGATGTTGTTGTCCATTATTTGTTACCATGGTTGTGTCATTCCACTCCCATCTTTGTCCTACTTAAGCAGGCTGGAAATTATAAGTGACTTTCGTTGATCTTGTCTTATCAATTGTCCATGAAAAGAAAAAAAAATTGTTCGTAAGCAATAAGCTGGAGGAGCAATGCAACGGAGAAGATGAAATATTTATTTTAAGTGATAATGGATGTATGAAATAAATTTCTCATAAATATGGCATTAAGTAATTGAAAATAGTTAATCATGGTTACTTTAATTAACAGATGACAATATATTTTTTTAATACTACAAGGGGAGGAGGGTTTCTCACATACTATGAAGAGCACTTCCACTCATTTGCCATGACAAAGGGCAAGGGCAAGGCAATGGCTGTTACTATTCACATAAATAGTGACAGCCCTTGCAAAAGGCTTGTGGTGTTTCCACTAATTGCTATAACAACCACTATTCACATGAGATATGAGGCGATGAATTTGTATAGAGTTTTGGTGTGGGAAGTAAAGAATATGACTAAGTATTTATTTAAAAAAAATTCTGAAATTTTAAAGTATTTTTATAGATTTTTATTTCTATTTTTTCAAAATAATTTTGTTGCTGACGTCATCACTAACGTTAGCAAACCCAAGCAACAACTCAGGCTATTCTTGCATTTGGGCCAGCCCAAACTTGTGGAGCCCACCAACAGTCCTCGTAGCATTTGTCCGCTGGAAATCCTTTTTGGGCCTAGGCCCCCCTTTGTCCGGGCAAAGGATAAGCTGCTGGAATCACTCTAAGGTGACATGAAGATTCGAACCTGAGACCACTATGGTCTATAAGACTATAAGGCAATGACGTTTTCTACTGGACTGAACCTCGTTGGCAACATATGAAAAACTTTAAAAGCGCTGGCAAGGCTACACCTGGCTTAAGCCGGCCACAGCGAGTGACACCCGCACCCGCCTACGCCCCCACCAATCCACCACCCCAAGCCCCAATAAAGAGAGAAGGTGATTCCCTCGGTGATGCCAGCTTTGGTGAGGAATATTAACTTTTATTGCATCTGTGTGTGTGTAGGGGGGCCCTAAAGGGGAAAAGAGAGTAGATTCATGTGCAAGCAAGACATACTTTTAATCGGGGCTCTCTTGCATAGCATGTATTCTTAACACGTCCTCTTCCGACGACCAAAACAAAAACACGTCCTACCCTAGGGTTTACTTTTAATTGAACTAAGATTTAAAATAGAAATAAAAGAAAGTAGCTAAACCCCACCACCCCGCCAGCCTCTCACGGGTGGGGGTACCCCCACCCCCAACTCATCAGACGACCAAAACAAAAGTTGTGTTCAAGTTTAGAAGAATTTATTTACGACGAAAACAAAGCAGAGCTCCACCTGAACATATATATATATATATATATATATATATATTTCACCACTTTAAGATTTGTCATTTCGGTTAACCCAATGGGCTTGGATCAAGTTGGTTTACAAGTCCAAGTCATACTGACCCAACTCACAATGTCACACTTGTTGTTGCATTTTTTACTACTTAAAATATTTGTCGTGTGATCCGTATATCCAATAATTTTACTAATAAGCGTATGTCCCGAGTTCGATTTGATATTTGGTGAAGACAAGCAAGCAACATGCGATTTGAAATTGTTTGGGCGTGCAATGTGAATTGTTTGTTTTTATGCATGCAAACAAGAGCAGAAGCCAATTGATGAATTGAAATAATGGAGAGACTACCATTCCCGAGGAAATTAGGCAGGAGCTGTATGTCAATAGTTTCCAGACTTTCCCACATATTTGATTAGACAGCAGAATTGTCTCCACTTGATATGTTCTGGCATCAAGAAGAAGCAAACTTCGCCAGATTTGTTGTTGCGGTATATATTTGAATGAATTGGCATCCTCTCCATTAACACAACCTCCAACACTCTCTCTCACCCTATTTAAGGGTGTTTCTAAAATGGTGAAAATAGTCGTCATGACCAAAAATGTGTTCGATTGCGTTTGGCAAAAAATGTCTATACGGATTTCTGAATTACAAACCCATTTTCAAATAGAAACACTTCTAAAAAAAACACACTTACGAGTATAAATGCTTCTTACATACAAAACACCCCTAAACGGCCTTCTGTTTGTGGCAGTGCTAGTCGTTTGAATAAGTTGAGTTCAAACTACGATATACTATTACTATACAGTTAATGAGTCTACTTATTTGGTTTTTGCGCTTGTCAACTCTGTATACAAACGTACTGACAGGTATTGGACATGAATCGAATTCATGGGGGGTCCATGGGAAAGATCTCTAGGTCCAAGAAAATCAGTGTTGAGTTGATTGAGATGAAGTATCCATATATAACCTGACACTCCTCCCAACACTATGCCTGTTCTCCGCAAGTCCATTATTTTCCATTATTTGGATGACAAGATGCTACCTCATATATGTATGTCCTGTTATTCTACCTTTGGTTGTTGCTAAGAGTTTGCAGCCTTCCCTTTTGTTTTCTTTATTAAACACCCTGGACTCGTTTGGATTTGATTTGGTGAAGGACTTGATGGTTTAAAAGTTAATCATTACTAACAAAAAGATGATCCAACTTCTCTATCTAATTTGTATTATATTTTCTATGTCATCACTCTATTAATCTTTATTCTTTAATGTAAATAGAGGATGAGTGTTCATATGCCGTCACGTAGAATATTTTAGTTTTTGCAAATACTAATAAGCACACAAATATTTATCATCTCACTAATCTACAAAACACGCAGACAAGACATATATAGTTGTGCACATATTCCCCAGTTGTTAATTATACGCATGATTTCTTAAAATTGCCACAAAAAGAATCTTTGATCTTGTTCCTGTTCTTGTTTTTTTGTCCAAATAATAAAGAAATCTTTCCTGAAAAGTAAAGAAAACCAAATAGCAGTGTCAAGATTCTCCTACGTGATCCTATATGATTTGGCCTACTCGTTTATGGCTATCTCTCCAACTTGTTTTTCTTTTTGCTTTTTTGGGTTCTGATCATCCTCCACCTACAACCTACTGCACATGTTAGAAATTGTTGCAAAATGAAGCACGAACCTCTCTTAAAAAAATGAAGCAAATCCCACTTAAAGACAAATGGTCTGGTATTAATCTTACCTAAACCCAACCAACTTTAAGATTAAGTATTTATAGTATAAAATATATGAAAGCATTTCCTTCTTTTCTTGTAGTTGTTGGAAAGCCCTCCTTGGATCCTCTTTGTTTGTCTCGCCATTTCTGTCTATGAACAAAAAGGAATAAAGTAAACCCACACTGTACTGATCAACAAAAATTAACCTGCTTCTTTACCACTAGCAAACTTCGGGTTTCACAATGCTTTTGCCCAGTAATTTGCACACGGATTTCAGAGCGGAAAAAATACATATCATTTCATGCATGATATATATCGATCCTTCCAAATTTCAATGCAAAGCATGCAATTTTTCTTGGCTTCATTTTGGTAGGGCTTTGAGTGAGCCTCATAATCGAAGCTCCAAGCCAATGAAAGTTTTGTCATTACCACAAAAAAAAAAAAAAAAAAAAAAAAAAAAGACTAAGTCTTGCTATCTTACGTTAATCTTAATTTGATCTGTTTAATTAATACTTAATCCGAATGCTAGTAAAATCAAGAAAATTCATCATTTTACAGGTACGCATACAATACCATATTAAGAAACAGAAAAATCTAGAGAAAGAAAAAACAGAGTACGAGTCACCGTAATTGACCACACATAACAATTCCAACACTCTCCTTCGGCAACAATGTTCCATTTTTTCTCTCATTCATGCATATTTTAGGGGGAGGCACACCGTTAGAAGATACCAACTTCTAAATTTTAGGAATGAAATTATTTTATTTATTTAGGCTGAGTTTGATGTGATTTTTAAAATCATTCACTGTTCGTGCTGCATACTCAACAAATCATGTCATTTGTTTTTTTTTTTTGACAAAACGATATTCTAAACTATTTTAATGTACCGGAAAATAGATCGAACTTGGATACAAAGGAGGCACACAACCTTAATTGACTGGTCTAAACTACATTTGCAACAAACTATATCTCTAAGTTATAAAATTAACGAATCAGTGATCACTAACTTTAATTAATTAAGAGTTCCCTCATTGTTACATGTGAAAAAATCCCCGACATGCAGGGACTTATTGTTAGCAGGACCACCAAGTCGCCAATTACCATTTGCCAATGAAAAACATTCAACATGTATTTTTTTTAATAAAAACAAAACACATTTTGTTTTTACACAACAATTCAACAAATTAACTAATATACTAGAACAAAATTTAAAAGAAAAATTATAAACATTCATCTCGAGACCTCAACACATCCCACGCTTCCTTGGTTTTCTGATCATCAGAATACACATTTTTCCTTTGTCCTCATACATGAAACATGACACATACCTTGAAAACCCATAAAGAGAAGGAGCAAAGACAAACGCCCTTTTCTTCCTTTGTCGTTTTTTCTTCGTTTTTCGACAACCGTTACATGACTATTAACCATCCGCAAAAGACAAGGACCACCGCCGCTAATGCGTTTAGGGGTTTTCTCAACGGTCATCGGCGGCTAAAGCTGGCGCTGACGAGTTAGCAGACAGCACGCAGATGACAAGGTCAGTGAAGGCGCTGATAATGTCCTTGTGGGCATGTTTGGGATTGAGTGAGAGGTAGCACAAAAGCAGCTCATGTAGATACTCCACGTCATCACTTATGCTATGATGATGATGATGATCATGGCACACCAACATGTGATGATCTCTATTAGCTTCAAGCATTTCCTCCATGGAGCGCCTGAAGTCCAAGTAAGGGTTTGAGGAGAACTTGCGAACGCGCACGCCTTTGGTGACCAACGTTGTTTTGTGATGAGGCTTGTTGGGTTTGGTGGTGGTTGTGTGTGGAGACTCGGTGATGGAGTTGGAGCGGCCCGGAGAGGAGAAGAAGAAGCGTTGGGAGGCGAAGATGGTGGCGAAATCGGGAGGAGAGAGGTCGGAGTCTGAATCAGAGGAGGAAGTGTGGACTTCGTCGGCGGAGGAGGAGGAGGAGGAGGGTGTGAGGGACTTGGTGGAGGAGGAGTTGATCAAGTTGAAGTCATAGAGGGTGTTGAAGTTTTTGATGAGGAGAGATGTACATGTGGTGGTGGTGGAGGGAGGGGGTGGTGAGTTTTGGTTAGAGGGTTGATCAGGTGGAGCTTGGATTGTGGGTAGGCATTTGATGAAATTGGGAAAGCATAAATTCTTCCACATGATTTTGGACATCTTTTGAGAGAGAGAGGGAGAAGGGTGAGTTGTTTATTGTTGTGGGTTGTGGGAATTATGAGCTGAACCTGAATGAGAGTTAAAGATCAAATAAACAGTAGAAGTTGGCTTTTATTTGAGAGAGAGAGAGAGAGAGAGAGAGAACACTCCAAAAGTCCATAGGACAGGAAAGGGAGGGTGAGAATCGTGAGACTGCTTGTGCTTTGTCTCTTAATTTGTTTTATTTTATTTATACCAATAATATATTTTTTTGGATAAGTAAAACTTCTCTCTTTCCCGTTGACTACAAGTTAAAAGAAAATGTACAATAATTCATATTAGATACACTGTTAATATACTGTAATTATATGATACATAATGTGATCGGTAAATATAATACAAATAATTGTTTATTTCAACGAAGATTACATTTACAAAAAAAGTCATACCATTGCAAATTTTCTCATACACTTACTTTAGGGAAGTTCCAGAAAATGAACTGCGGGTTGAACATCACTCAATTATAAGTCAATATAAAGATTGACTTTCAACCATATTCATATTTAATTATTAATTCTTTTACAAATACAGGGTACATGCAAGCATCCTCTACTCGATTTAGGATGCCTTTATTTTATTTTATTTTATCAATTTCCTTTATATAAAGATGTTAAAAGTTTGTATTAAAAGTCAAATTGAAGCAAAGGATTCACTTATCCTTGTACTGCTAAAGTGGATACGCTTAGATTTCATATGATCTTTTTTGGCATATTAGGTATCGGTTTAAATAGTACACGTTGTAAGAAATACTATTTAGGAGATTATTCGCTATTACCATGTGCTTTGTCTCGGATGGTTTGGTGTATGTGGGTTGGAGATAGATCTATTAATTCAGATTGAATGCAAAGCAAAAGAGAGAAAACAAAAGACTACTAAGAAATTCAATTTCAAAGTTAGCTCCCAAGCTTCCACAACCACTCAAAAGGAACATTAATTGTATAAAAATTCAAGTTTTATCGATTACAATAAAATTACTTGATTTAGGATTTTCTCTAAAAAAAGATGTCACGTAAACATACGAAAGTCAGGAATTAAAACAGTGCGTCTTTCTTCTTATGAAATGTTAAGCAAATAATAATGATAATAGTAATATGACAATGCGTGACATAGGCACATAACTACTAATTAAAGAAACTGGAATGCAAATCAAAGATTTCTAGAAGCATTAGTTTGCCCTATTGCATTGATCAATTTCAAATTTGATTGCTTGCAAGAAAACTAAATATTCTTGGTAGGAAGACTGTCCTTTTTATCCTTTAGAAAGTTGCAGACCCAACATGGTCTTAACCCTATTGAAGTTGGAAAACATTTTTTTTCTTGCTTTTGGCGTACTTGCTATGCCCACTTTGAAAAGGTCATCACTTCTGGTCTACCATAATTTGAGTAACTGCAACCAAATCAATGGCGCTCCTCAACCCCGGCCAACCCACCAGTCCTTCTCTGCTGATTTATGGTCATGATTGCACGAATATTCAATGTTATATGGTACAAAAGCTCAAAGCATACACCTCAGCTTCAAATGGACCTAGAGCTACTTGTGGTTTTGCTCTCATTCCATCAACTTTTAGTTTGCAGCATCGATCGTACGCATCCAATCATTTCAATTTACAATAGACCAATAATGTACATCAAACTGATGTCTTCTTTGCTTATGTAACGTAATGTGTACATTACCATAAGAATCAATTTTATTAATATATTATGTTTATAGATAATTTGGTGAAAAAAATGCACTGTTCTACAGATTTTGATCCTTGTATCAAGTGGCAGATAAAAATTAGTCATCAGGGAAATTCATCATTTTTTCCTTCCAAGAAATATGATATATACCATAATGTTTGAGTTTTCCTTTAAATTAGGGTAAATTACTCAAATGATCCTAAAACTTGTACTCGATTTACATTTTGGTCTCTCAATTAAATTATTCGTTCAAATGGTCCATTAACTCTATATTATTCGCTCCATTGGTCCTACCGTTACATTCTGTCAATATTTCCGTTAAACATGAGGGCAAATTAGTCATTATTTACCATAAAATTAGGTTAAATCTAATAGAAAATTAGACGGTAGAACCACTGGAGCGAATAATATAGAGTTGATGGATCATTTGAACGAATAATTTAGTTGAGGGACCAAAATATAAACCAAGTATAAGTTTGAGGACCATTTGAGTAATTTAGCCTTTAAATTAAGGGACAATGTGTTTGATAACATCTCTGAAAGTTTTCTTTATAGGAATTTCTTGATCATGCCTCTATATTACTACAAATTATAGGCTCCACCAATTTCATACAAGACAATCATCAAGCTACATATAAAGCACCAACGATTATATACTTCCACATATCATGCAATAAAACCAAATTCCCTGCAAATGATTTGATTGATTTATTAAGAAAAAAACAAGGCTCTTATCAATATTGCCAGTGAGGCTGCTGCATGGCAATGTTTGGGAACAAAAACTGCCATCTTTCGGTCAGTGCATGTTGTGCTTCAGGTAGCTACCTAACGTCACCTGTATGTTTTGTATGGCTTATATCACACGAATGCTTTTATGCTTTTCCTCTTCCAGGAAACCAACATCTTCCAAACTCACTTTTACCTTTTGGATTCTTCGTTACTCATGGAAATATAACCGCGCCATAGGTCCCCCTCATTCACCTATATAATTGTCCTTCTTGCTCCAGTTGCTTATTAATAACGTAATTAGTAGGGATATTAATTATTTGTCTGTACTGGCCATATCGCCATTATGTAGTGACCAACTATGTTTAACTCACTAGGCCCTCCCTCTCCTTTGGATTATATATTTTCCGAATTAGATAGGCGGTACTGTCTGATGTCTTAAACCCGTAGGCTTCCATTAGAGCATCTGCCATGGTGAGGATCATTTCAATTTTATTTCAATAAATTGAACTTTTGACTTGCAATGGTAAAGTTCAGTTCATTTCATAGATCAATATTTCATTTCATAGGTCAATAAAATGAACTCTGAAATGAAATTCATTTCAATAAGCTGGCCTACCATAATAACTCTACAGCCTCTCTCTTATAATAACTCTACAGCCTCTCTCTTATAATAACTCTGATGTGTTCTCATTTAATATCAACTTTCAATTCTTCATAAAAAAAATGTGTTAATATAATGTTGTCAGAAACTAAAGAAAATTTTGTTATTATATATTCAAAATTGGTTTCTTTTTAAAGATCACTTTAAAACCATTTTAATTGTATAATTCTTATCGTAATTAACTTTATTTATTTTGTTTTACTCAATTATTTTAAAAGATATATATTTTTAAAATATAGTTTTTAATTTGTAAGCTATTGAACTCCACTGCAAGTGAAACTACAGTTCAGTTCAATAATTGCCAAAAAAATTCAATAAATTGAACTATTGAACTGAAATGAACTGTTAAATAACTATTGCAATGCTCTAAGAATTTTGTTACCAGTCGCGCACGCATCCATAATGCAAATACCTAATCTAACTGTAGTAGATGCATCAAATGCATGTATGGGCATGTTCTCTCCGGCCCACACGCAACTGACAATACCACTCCTCCCTATATACATATCAATTTGAAGCTTTCTACTTATAAATTTATTCTGTCAAGGTCGGCTTTTAAGTAATACATGTAAGCGTCTCACATGGTTACAAATCATCAAAGCCTATTTTAGACCCCCAAAAAAAAAGAAAAAAACAAGGCCCATAAAGTACGTAAGACCATTTCGAATGAAGAACTATCTGAATCTTGGTGTAAACAGTCCTAATATTTGGCAAACAAAACCTTGTAAGATCTTAAAAAAAACCCTCACTTGCGTTGATTGGTTTTTTTATACACAGTAGAAAAAAAATCAACGACGGCTTGGTGAAAGGGCCATGTTTAAAAGCCCATTCAAGCCGCTGATTGTTTGCAAAACATAAAGGAAACTAGACTCTGGCATGTACTACTAGCACGACTATTTTGAAGTTTAAACCCAGTACTTAATTTACATAGATATATACTTCCACCACAGGCACTGCTACTTAGTCAAGTGGACACAGCAGGAAATCACATCTTTATATTCTCATTGAGCCTTGCAGCTGCGGTCACGGAAGCCGCCACTCCCCCAGGACGCGTTCCCATTTCCGGGTTGTTTTGGAGCTCAGCACTTGCAATTCCTTCAGCATCCTGCCTCGTCGCCGCCTTGTCCGCGGGCAGTTTCCCAGTAGCACCCTTCACCAGGCAAAACCACACAAAACTTCTATCATACACCTTAGCCCACAACAACCCACGTACCTAGTACTCATAAACCGTATGATGAAATGTCCGACTTACCGAGAGGACATCTGTGAGCTTGATCTTGTCCTGCTCCCGCAGAGTCCCGGCATTGTATGCTGCCGCAGATTGAGCCATGGCAGCTAGCCCACCTGGGCTTATCACATTGGTGCCCGTGGCTCTCACCTCCGCAGCCTGAATGGCTGCGGCATCACTTTGATCAATTGGCTTATCACCGGCTGTTTGGGCGGACGCTTCCAGTGCTTCCCCGATAGTGATTGCGTTCTGCTCCATAAATCCCCCCGCAGCTACCTGCGCCACCGGCGTGGGCTGCACATACTGCCCAATCACCTAACCACACCCAAAAACAAAAGGGTCACCCTTTATCCATTCAATACACATTGAAAACTTGATGTTACACGTAAAAGGTTCACTCAATGGTCAATAGTCCAAATTGAACCTTGCAACATATCGTATGTTATGTTTGTATATTGTCAAGCTACTGATCTGATATCATAAAAGAATCTGACCTAAAATATATATATACAAAAGATCAATAGTCCAAATTTTCTTGTTTGACATAATATGTTACATCTTGAAATTAGTATCCACTACATGTTAGTTAAATAGTATTGACAATTATAAAATTAAATTGAGCTAATTAGTAAATTGACAAATCACTAATATAATATATAATGTGTGGAATAAGTATGAATAACATAATATATAATGTGTTCAAATAGTATGAACAACATAATAAAAAAGTATTGATTTTCGGATTGATCAAACATAGCAAATCAGATCAAGCTTTAGCTAGAGATGAGAGGGAAACCTGTCCACCAACTGCTTCAGTGACGATGCGGCTTCCAGGGACATCAGTCTCTGTGACAGTGACACCTTCATTTCCACCAACATCCGTGGCCTGGTCATGGCGAACAAGGCCGGATCTTTCGTTTCGGGTGGCGGCCGACTGCATGACAGCGGCCGGATCGCCCTTCTGGGTCTGCCCAAACACCATGGTCTCAGCGGTCTGCATCATGTTAGCATCTTGTGGTGCAATGGGCTTCTTTGCGAGGTCCCCAGAGACGGAAAAGACGTCGCCGTATTTGATGGGCTCCGGCTTGTCCTGCTGTTTGTCTTCCTGAGGCCTCCGTGGCTGTTCCTGGCTCATTTTGTTGTATCAGTTTGAGATCACAATTACAAGCTTTTGCAAAGGCTTTTGGTGCCTGAGAGATCGACTAGCTAAGCTTAGATTTGATATACACTATCTACGGACGTACTTAAAGTTAGGGAAGATTGGGAGAGTTAACACATCCCGATATAGTTGTGGAGCGTAATTGCCACGTGGTTTTGTTGACACACGTGTCAAGAGAAAAGCTAGGACAGTTTTGTTCGTAGCAGTACACGTGGTAGCATGTGGCTCTGTGTTTGCAATTCTGGTAAGAACACTCCGCAGACCGACTAGAAGCTCCGCGACACTTATGTATGCGTTCGGCTTATCAGATTAGGGTGCATTTTGAAATATATTATTTCCTTTCGAAATCTTCAAGGACTTTGACATACATATGCAGTATCTATTTAATATTCTAATTGCATAATTATTAAACAAGAAACATCCGAGCCTAATAAGGATAAGGATTCAAAGATTTGACGGCAATTTGGTATATATATATATATGTTCTGGAAATATTTTTGTTCACTATTTTAATTTAAGGTATATTTTTATTATTCTTCTTAACACTTACATGTGTTTATTGGCATAATTATATAGTTAAGTTTTTTACTTTGTATTTATGAAACCATGGTTATTATGTCAATAGACATGTGTTAAGTATTGAGAATGGTGATAATGATACATCTTAAGTAAAAGTGGTAAGTAAAAATACCCCCATAAGTTTTACATTCCACCCGATATGTCAAATTAAAACTTGATTTATCACATTAGTGTTGATTTGTTTATTACCTTCTAGGCCCATTAATTGAAAAATAATAATCAAATAATATCACAAAATCAAATATTCAAAAATAAGAGGAGAAACGAGAAATGTTATTCCATGTTAGATTTAATATTTCGGTTGGCGTGAGTCTCTATTATTCTTCATACATGCTAAAAATTCCATGTTAAATTGAGGGAGATGCTTAATCAAATTACTAGGTTTTTAAAAAGCCAAATAAAGTTCAAGGCAAAGCAGACAATGCTTGTGATGCAAGGATTGCAGATCGAGCCCAAGAGCGAACAAAGAGCAAAAGCCACAAACAATATCAACATCTACCATATCAGAATATATCCAACAATCATAGCATATCGGCTCATCCTAAGCTAGGATGGCAATTGAGGTCAATCACAAATACGACAGCACTTAGCTGCATACAACTTATTTAACATTATAAATACAACAACACTTGAGGAACAGCTGCATGGAGGAAGATTGCCACTTATTGTTTTGTACTGGAAGATATCATCCTTCATTTCAATATACTCAACCATTTGGAGCAGCCCCCTGTGTCGGTGTGGAATTCATTGACCTGTAACCTCCAACCCATTGGCTCTACAAAATGAAGTATGATTAAAAACTGAGAGGAAAGGGATGACAAAGACTCTACTCTTACTAGTAGATAATGGGAAAACTGATTCAAACCATAGTGTATAATCTGTATATGTTTTTATTTATTTATTTATAAAACTGAGAGAATTGTTTATGTTTTTGTGAAAGAAAATACTAGTCATACCACATTTATATATATACAACCTTATGTACCACCTCTCTAATAAAGGTGGGCCCCATTGTATTGGTGGGCTCCGCCTCTATTAGATAGATGGTAACACAAGGTGATATGCAAATATGATATATATGCCTAACATTGCTCATTTATAAGAGGTTGATGCATAAAACTTATCCTACTAATTCGACCATTTTTAACGCGATTAGTGGGGATAAGTTTTAGACATAACCTCATATGAATATATAGTCCCCCTTAATCCTTCAAATTACAAGACAACATCCATAATTTTCTTTGATTGAAGATGAAATCTTGTTATTTAACTAAATCTAGGCTAGTCCAATCTAATCCTCCATATCAAACATACCAAAGTTTACCAATTCTCATCCCAACAAAACATGCTAAAAAAGGGAAAATATTGATTTTCTAGTAGTGATATTCCTGATGGATGAGGCAACGAGGATGAATGGTCATCTCCCACTCCCTCAATTGGTCTACAAAGGCCAAAATGTTTTTTTTTCTTTTCTTTTTTTGGTTTTCGTTCTCCAACAATTTATGTATGTTGAAATATTTGTCTTAGAAATTTGAGATAAATGATTTAGGAGCTCTGAAATACTTCCTCGGAATTGAAGTAGCAAGGTCAAAACCTAGTATATTTTTGTCTCAAAGGAAGAATGTGATGAATTTACTCACTGAAACAGGAATGCTTGGATACTAGCCTGCTGACACACTCATTGAGATGAATCACAAGTTGTGTGAAGACATGGACCGGGTGCCTACCAATAAGAAATAATACTAGCACATTGTTGGAAGGTTGATATATTTGGCACACACAAGACCAGATATTGCATTCACTGTAAGTGTGGTTAGTCAATTTATGCATTCTCCCAGTGTTTCTCATAGGAATACAATTGATCGGATCTTAAGGTACTTAAAGTTAGCCCTTGGAAAAGGAACTAATGTTCTCCAAGAATGGAAATCTTGAAGTTATTGGATATACAAATGTTGACTGGGCCGATTCCATTACAGATAGAGATGCTTTACATCATGTTACTTTACATTTGTTAGAGGTAACCTTGTCACTTGGCAGAGTAAAAAACAAAATGTGGTTTCCAAGTCTAGTGCAGAATCAGAATATAGAGGAATTACTCAAGGAGTCTGGGAATTATTATGGATCAGAAGACTTTTGACAGAATTGAGTTCAAACCAGAAAAGCCAATGGAGTTACATTGTGACAACAAGTCAGCTATCGATATTGCTCATAATTCAGTTCAACATGATTGAACTAAACATGTTGAGGTGGATAGACATTTCATCAAAGAAAAAAATTGGAACAAGATCATCTGTCTACCCTTCGTAAAATCAGAAGATCAATTGGCGGATGTCTCAACAAAAGCTGTTTGTGGAAGAGTGTTTTATGACTCATTTACCAAGTTGGGCATTGGTGACGCATATGCACCAACTTAAGGAGTGTTGACATGAGCTATCCTAATTAATCAAGGAGATTTATTTCCTCGATTAATTAGGAGATTTACTTTTTTATTTTATATAGTTGGCATATCCTTGTATAATTAGGAGATATTCTCATAATTGTTTACTGTATCTATTTTCTTATAAAACACTCATGTAAACTCCTATATATCTCCTTATGGAGAAGAATACAATTAACCTAAAGTATTCAAACCAAATCCATCTTTTAACAAGCTCATTTCTTCTTCATTCTTCATGGCACATCTCTCTTTTTCTGTAGGGCGGCAAATCAACTTGAAAATCGGCCAAACTGGTGTTCGAGTTTGGTCAGGTTTTATTTTTTATTTTTTTGGAAAATCGGTTCGAAAACCGGATTATCCAGTCCAGTTCACAGTTCACATGTTGGAAATCCTCCATTCACTAACCAGCCAAGGGAACAAGCAAAATATTACAAAAACTAGAGTAACTAGTTCACTGTAGTAACAATCCCTTACAAAATCTGTAGTAACTATTTCAACTCTTAGGGCTAGTCAACTTACTAAATTTTTTGCCAATATAAATTAATAAAAGGCGCTAACAAAGTCTAACTCAGTGAAAACAGGCCTTGCCCTCTTTTTTATAATTTAGATTATCACTTGTATTGAAAGGCAAAGCAAACATTGCTTGTGATGCAAGAATTGCAGATCGAGCCCAAGAAGCGAACAAAGGGCACAAGCCACTAACAAATGTCACTTGGTAATAAACTCTGCATTCAACACCTACCATATCAAAATATCCAACAACCATAGTATGCAAATCCATACAAGGACACTTGAGGTGTGCAGCTGCATACAACATATTTAACATCATAACTACAAGAACCCTTGAGGTACAACTGGATGGATGAAAATGGCCATTGCAACTTATTGTCCGTACTGTAAGATTTACAGATCTTCTGCTTCATGTGAATCTACTTGACCATTTTGAGCAGCCTTCTCTGTCAGCGTCGAGTTCATTGACCTGCAACCTCCAATCCATTGCCTGCACAATGAAGTATGATTCAAAAACTGAGAGGAGAGCAATGACAAAGATTCTTCTCTTCCTAATAGTAAGATATTGGGAAAACTGATTGAAAAGCAAGTGTAATATAATCTGTATGCATAAAAAGGTCAGAGGATTGTAGATACTTTTCTGCAACAGAATCATCTTTCAACTTCAAAATGAGGTATGCAATTCGATACTTTGTTTAATTTTTCAATTCGTTTCGTAACAGATCATGTTGGTCTTGTCATTTTGTTCTAAAACAAATTGATCAGTGCATGCTTATCCAAATATGAATTATAGTTTATTAATATGCTCTCCCCTAAGTTTTAATCTTGAAACCAACAAAATATAATAATTGGGAATAAAAAAGCTTACCATCGGGATCAAAGAAAAAGACTTGCTTGATCTTACCATCAGGTAAGGACTTCTCAAATGTCTGAATTCCCTTGTCCTGCACAACCAAATTTGGGAATATCATAGAAAGGAGGAAAATATAAATTTTTTTTTTTAATATAAAAAACATGCCAAAGTTTTGAACCGGGGTTGGCTCAGAGGAGAGGCACACACAAGCTTCGTCTTCTGAACAAAGGCCCGGAATTATTTCAGCGTCTTTTTTTAAACCCAATTTTCTTTTTAAGGGAGAAAATTGCTTGATCTTACCATCCCAACAAAACAAGCTAAAAAAGGGAAGAAAAAAAATTGATTTTTCTATTAGGTGATGGTTTTGATGGATTAGATCACGAGGATGAATAGCCATCTCCCACTCCCACATTGGGTCTACAAAGGCCAAAATGCTTTTTTATTTTTTTGGTTTTTGCTCTCCCGTAATTTATTTATGTAGTTTGATTTTGAAGTCAAGACTCGCCCACTGTTTCAGGTGATACGTGTTCTGTTTCGTGTGTAGTATATATAAGAGGAAATGAAGAACCTGGACAATAAAAGGAAAGTGAAGCTAGAAGAATGTTGAAGATTTTGGGTGGGAAAAAGGAGGAAGAAAAGCAAACAAAAACAAGAGCTTATATCAAATAGAACAATCATCTATGATTGCAATTTAAATTTCTAGACTCTATAAAATTCCATAACCAGCACCCAATTGAAATTGCAACAATCAAACTGCGCAAAAGATCTTCAATTCATAAAAAACCCAAAATGATAGTTGAAAATGGATGCAAAGCAGCATACCTTGAGGGTTTGGACAAAGGAGTGGAAATTAGAGACGGAGAAGCAGACATGGTGGCCTCTGGGGAGATGGCTTGGGTCAGCTACAGGTGACGTGGCGCTCCAGGGTCCTTCTGGAAGGTTGTAATCTGGGTTCCTCTCGATGAGGTGGAAGGCAAAAGCTCCAGGGCCCTTGAGCCATATCACCTTGAATTCCAAGTTTGGGCTCTCTATCTCCTCAAACCCAAATATCTACCAACACCAACACCAACACCAACACCAAGTAGCTTGTCAAAATTAAATTGACTATAGAAAATGAAGAGGAAAAATTGGAAGCTTGAAGAAACAACCTCTTTGTAGAAATTGGCGAGGCGCCTGATATCGGAGGATTCCCTGGAAATATGGTTGAGACTCACTCCTTCTGCTACTGCTGCCGCCATTTCTTATAATCGCCTATTTGGTAATCTGTTTGGGGCTGTAGCTTGTATTCTATTTATTGTTTTAGACTACTTTTTTTTTTCTTTCTTTTTATATATGAAAACGACGTCGTGGGACGTCGCTGCTTAAAAGACACAATGGGCAAGGCCTTCTTTTTCCTTCAACCACCGCAAATTTCGAACTTAAAACTTCTTCCAACAAAATAAAGATCTAGTATCATAATTTACCCAAGCTACTAGACGAAATGATCATTCACCTGTTATTTTACAATGTAGCTAAGTAACAATCGAGCATTGCAAATCTACGATGCTGTGTATCTAATTTTCTTGGAAAGAATAATAATGACAAATAATGGTTAGAAGGTATCAATTCATCACCAATAATCCCTACACGAGCAATGACCATCTCTAAAGCGATGAAAGCGATTGTTATCTCTCACAATAATTTCTCTACCTACAATGCCTGAGATAAATTTGATTGCACCATGGCAATCACCACAGATCCTAAGGTTCTTTGTAATCCTTATAGGCACCCCGGGAGGGATGGCTATGAGGCCAAAAGCAAGGGCAATCTTCTCGCTGTGGTACCAAACTTCTGATACTTTCTCTTCTTCTTCTAAATCAAACAGCGCAAAATTGGTATCGGCAATGTACCCAGCTTTCTCCATTTCCCTCCTTAACTTGGTTAGCATTGCCTGAATCTCCGAATTCCTTTCGTGGGAGGTGTCCTTCGCTTGGAAGACGTGGACTGCATTCTTGACGGCGATCCAACTGTAGCCTGCACCCTTCTTGATCCCAACATCTTTCATCTCCTTTCTCACAAGAGTGGCCTCTTCCCACCTGCAATACATTCATTGTCAAACATAAATCAGTTTGTTCAAATATATGGGGGGCAAAGGGCCCCGATAATGAAAGCAAAACAACGCCTCTATGGCTCCTACATCATAGCTTCAAAACCATAGCTTCTAGCCTCTTAGGATTCTGGGTATACATTGCTTATGCAACATACAGATGCTAATGGAATTGAAAATGATGAATCTACCATCAAAGAAGTATACATTTGGTAAGCATTTTTTGTACCTGCCAGCAGCTGCAAACATATTAGAAAGAATCACGTGGTTGCCAGAGTCTTTAGGATCAAGTTCAAATAACTTATCAGCTGCAACCCTCCCCAATTCTGTCTTCCTATACATTTTGCAAGCCCCTAGAAGTGCCCCCCAAATGGAAATTGTTGGACGAATTGGCATCCTTGTAATAAACTCATAAGCACGCTCTACCATCCCAGCTCTTCCAAGCAAGTCCACAACACATGCATAATGCTCTGCCCCTGGTTCAATTCCGTACTTTGCTTTCATTGACTCAAAGATCTGCATCCCTGTTTCCACGGCCCCTGCCCTACTGCATGCCGATAATACACAAACCAAGGTAACGTAATTGGGTTTAACCTCATGACTTCGGACGGTCATTTCCTCAAACAATGCCAAAGCCATGTTGGCATGTCCTTGATGCGCATACCCGCCTACCATCGCGTTCCAAGAGATCAAGTTCCTTGAAGGCATCCCATTGAAGGCGCGCTTGGCATCTTCTATACTCCCACATTTTCCATACATGTCAACAAGTGCACTCCCAACAAAGAGATTTCCCTCGACACATGCCTTCACGGCAATTGCATGAACTGACCTACCCTGTTCAAGCCATGCAAGCCCAGAACAAGCACTTAGAACACTCGAAACCATGAAATCAGTCGGCTCAACCCCTTCTTTCCTAGCCCGCAAAAATAACTCACATGCCATCTCCTCCTCATCATTTTGCACACACGCAGCCACCAAAGAACACCAAGAAACATCATTGCGCTTATCAATTGTATCAAAAACCATCATAGAAGACCCAACCTCCCTGCACTTCCCATAAAAGTCAATAAGCCCATTTAAAACCGACACATCTTTCCCAAACCCGCATCTCATGACAAACCCATGTAACTGTCTCCCGAGCTCCAAATTCGACGTATCCGAGCACGCATTGAGAAATGCACAGAACGTAATCGAATTAGGCTCCCCGCCCGCCCGCAGAAACTCAATAAACTTGTAAACCGCATTTAGCGGCCGCCCGTCCAGCACAGCATTAGACATGTATGCATTCCACGTCGCAAGGTTTCTCTCAGGCATTTCATCAAACACTTTCCGAGCCTCGTCGCGCAGACCCGTTTTGTAGTACATATCAAAAGCACTGCAGCCAACAAAGACATCGCATATCTGCCCGGCCTTAACCGCAAGCGCATGGACCTGTTTTCCGGTGGCAGGCAAGCGGAGCGACCCAGAGGCCTTGAAGGCGCAGGGGAAGGTGAAGTCATTGGGCTGGACAGACTCGCGTAGCATGTTAGCGAAGTGGAGTATGGCGGAGGCGAAATGACCGTTTTGGACAGAACCGGCGATGAGGGCGGTCCAGGTGACGACGGAGCGAGAGGGGTTGAGTTGGAGGACGAGTTGGGCTGAGTCGGGGAGGTCGAGTTTGGAGTACATGTTGACGAGGTGGTTGGAGAGGAAGGAAGGGAGCGGGGCGTCGAGGGTTCTGATCATCTGGGCATGCGCCGCTCGGCCGAGCCGAGTGGACTGAGTCGACAAGGCTGATTGGACCAGGGAGGCGAGCGAGTTGGGAGTGAGGAATGGCATTGTTGGTAATTGCGGTCATGGTTTGGGAGTTAGAGGAGCATGAAGAGCGTTTGTGATATTTTTTCACCAGGGATTTCTGTCAAGGAAGATGGTTTGAACCTTATTGGCGGTTTATGTTAACGACATGTCAGACTTCGGGGTTTTGGATTTGACTGGAGTCTGCTGCAAGGTAGAGGTGTAAAACCGGACAGGCTGGCCCAAATTCTGCACGAGTGCGCCCGTTTAAAGACGGCTCGGTATTATACACACTTTCATTTGATGTTGGGTTGAGCAAAAAATTTAAGGTTTTTTATTTGTTGAATCAGTCTGTTTAACATTTAGATTCGGTATCAGTTCAGTTCAATTAAAAAGATTCTAAGTTCGAATCTCTTGTTCTCTTGACGAAAGGGAAACAAAAAATCCTTGGCAAGCCATGGATGGCCAACGCAGGCACCAAATTTCCTTATAAAATAAAATTGACTTAATAAGAAGCAAAACACATATGTATATAGAAAATTCTTGTGAAATGTGTGAAGACTTGCCCCGATCGAGCACATTCCGCACCTCACATGAATCGCACCTTTCCCCGAGTCTTTCTCTGTCCACTCCACACATTCCGCGCTCTCTCCCAACTCCAACTCCCATGACAAACAAAAAGACTCAACAACAAAGCCTCTTCCTCTGTCTCTCTGTCTCTCTTTTCCTCCCTGCCCTCCTCATCCTCCGATCCAACACCAAGGCAGAGAGAAAGAAGAGAGAGTTCGAGCTAACTGATCGAGCGGGGTTGGGTCCAGAATCCAGTACTTGGATTCCATGGAACCCATCAACGTAGAAAAGTCTCGTCATGGTCATCTGGAACAGGGCATCTCGGCGGTTCTATCTCGATGGAATGGCCTTGAAATGGCTGTCCAGAACCAGTGGGGTGGCCAAGACTCCACCCTCAAAGCCCAGCAACTCTCTGCCGATATTCTCTCTTGGTTCTCTCAATCCAAAGGTGGTCTTTTTATTTGATTCGTTCACTTGCATTGCATGCATAGCATATTCACATGCATCTAAGCACATTTTTACAATTATATATCCATTGCAACTGTGAGGTTGGAAGCCAGACTGCCTGACAAGAGAACATTAATTTATGTGTACACGTGCAGCACCACGTTATGTGGAAGATCTAGAAAACTTGCTACATGAACGCATGCTTCTGTCTTTCAACACAGACATAGAGGACGGAAGCATTGAGGAGGTAAATATAAACCACCCTCTCAAATGATTTAATTAGATTCAGCTTGTTTAATAATATGTTCATGATCTGTTTGGTATGTGACAGATTTCCAACTTAAACTTAGAATTTAAGCCTTATCTACAGCAACTCCAATTTATATCTCGTGCATGTATAATTGAGTAGAAGTAATATTCTCTCAACGAGACATGGCGTCCTGCACAAAGAATTTCTGTGTGTATATGTAATTTGTTGTCTGTGCGTGCAGTTTTATATAATTGATCATCTGCTTATGAAGTAATTTTTCAATACAGGTGGCAGAACAATTGATGATTGTACATGAGGAATACTTGCATGGAAACCATTAGAGAGATTTATGTGTTCTTTTTTTTTCATAGTCTGAAAGCACTGGTTAGGATACATGGACATAGACAAAGAGTCAACTGAAATTGGCCAGCAATTCTACTTAGCTTCAAGCTTTGAATGAAAGCAAGTAGCATTACACAGGGAGACTAAACACAGGTACCTGAAACGAGAGCGGTCGAGATTCGATTGATTGAAGCCGAGATGAAGAGGATTTCTACAGGGAATTGGAATTTGGATACAATAATATTTCTCAGCTTGACACAGAACCAAGAATTAAAAAGAGCATTTCAACAAATCAACATCTATGGGAAGAAGAAGGGTAACTCAGAGTCACAGATAGTAAACTTTTGAGTACAAATATACTCAGTTGTAGTGAGTGATCACATTGCCTCTCTGTGGCAGTGTTATCAGTAACTTTCTTTTTGGGTTTCCACTATTACAGTTCATTGTAAAAACTACATATATTTACCTAAGAAACCATAAATTCATGGCATTAGTTTTCAGCCCTTTTGTCTTTTCGATATAGAAATTTTCTTCTGCTGGCTCCATAATTTTGTTCCGTGAGAATGTATGAAATCTAACAAAACCTTCCAATCTGTAGAAGACGCTGAAAACTAGAGATTAGACCATGTAGAGGATGACTTATTTCCAGATTGGAGCAAATAAGAGTGACTTGCCACCTCCATTTCTTTAGATTGTTTTTTTTTTTTTGGATGTGAAATTGTTTCCAGGTGGATGGTTAATTATTTGAATCAATTGTACCCCTATCATCCATTGAGTGTAATTTTCGTCTCAACTATTATCAGTGACAGAAACAAGTTTTTCAAAATGAGCTAGGCCAACTTAGAATATGAATTATAGACACTTCGATTTTTGTGGCGACTGATTGAGGGACGAGACAACCCCCATGAATCAGCTGACTGTCAAAACTAGTATGGTAATCGTACTCAAAGGTCTTGGGATTGCTTATGTAGCATGCATTTTTACTCATAAGCGTTTTTGGCATAAACACTTTTTATTATAAGTATGTTGAAATTCTTATTAAAAATCCAAGGTTTCTTTTAAGCAAGTGCTTCTCCATAAAATTTTTAGCGCTAAATAATTCCAGAAGTCTTAAACATGCCCTTAAACTGCAAGATAATTTTGAAACATCTATTAATGTTCTCCTAAATATATGAACATAAATTTTAAGGAAATCTAATCGTATCTAATTTCTTAGAATTGAAGAAGACTCATCTAAGCTAACGGTTGATTCTCCAAGATTGATTGGGACTCTTATTTCTTATTGGACATGGATCTTTACTCCATGTATAAAGGTGACTCATCAACCCTCTCTTGAAGTGCTTCTCCTAGTCAATTTTTAAACTTTAGTTATTCGTTTACTCATTAATCGAAGGGCTTTTCATGAATAGGCCAATTCTAATATGACATATTATACAAAAACCGTTATAAAGCCTATTTGGAGAGAAAAACTGAAAATTAGCCACTTGTCATTTTCTAATTGGTTCTTATAAAAATTATACTAAGAACCAATTAGAAAATAATAAGTAGCTAGTTTTATGTTTTTCTCTCCAAATAGGCTCTATATGGGTTTTTGAATAAATAAAAGGGTTATTTATTGTTTCACCCCCTGGAACTCGAGATCGCTCTCACTTAACCACTCGGAACTCAAATTTCCTCACTTTACTCCATGAATCTCTAAAAATTGTTGAAATTTTCTCACTTTGCCACTTCTGTCCATTTCCGTCCATAAAACGATTAAGTATGCTGAGGTGGCATGGGCATTCTAGTAATTTTAGCCCTTTTATCTTCTCTCTCTCTCTCTCTCTCTCTCTCTCTCTCTCTCTCTCTCTTATCCCCTCTTTAGACCTAACCCCCAGTGCAACCCACCCCTCATCTCCCTATGCCTTTTTATTCTCTCTCTCTGCCTCTCTCTCCTCGCCCCTCCCCAACCCCTATTGCACCCTACCCCTCCCATCCTCTTTCCTCTTTCTCTCACTCTTACTCTCTCTGCTGAGAGAGAAGATGGGGAGTAGCTGTCGAGTAGATTTTTATTTTAAATTTTGAGTGGTGGTAGTTTGGGTGTGTTAAGTAATTCCATGGAGGGTTAAGTATGGGGTGGGGGGTTAGGTCTCGAGAGGGGAGAGGAGAGGAGAGAAAGGCAATGAGAGTGAGAGAGATAGAGAGATAGTCAAAGGGAGGGAAGGGGTAGGGTTCGATGAAGGTACATTGGGGGTTGGGTCTGGGGAGGGGATGGGAAAGAAGAGGAGAGAGAGATAAGATATAAGATAGAATAGGGGGTGGGGGTTTGGTGTGATGAGGGTTGGGTTGGGGAGGAGAGAGAAAGATATAAAAGACATTTAACAGGAAAATGAGATGGCATTGAGGGGATAAGGTAACATTTGAGATGGAGTGAGAGAATGGGGGTAAAATGAGAAAATTTGAGTTCCGGGTGGTTAAGAGCGAGCGAGCTCGAGTTCTAAGGGATGAAACAGTAAATAAGCCCAAATAAAAATGGTGATTATAAGGCCCAATATATGCATGTTGGCTCGATCAACTCGCTAAAGTCACATTGATTGTTAGAGTTGATAGCATATTCTCACCTTAGCTATTAGAGCACTTCCACCCCTACTAAGGACAAAGTAAGGGCTGTTACTATTCACATGAATAGTGGTAGTCCTTGCAATTTTGTTTGCACCACTATGAGCAAGGGCAAGGGCAATTACTATTCACTTTAAGTTATTTTCTATTTTTTATACTTAAACGATTATTTTTGATAACATTTTCGGTTGCTACGTGTCACTATTTATTATAAAATTCTCATTTCAAATTTCAAATTAAATTTTAGGATTAAATTTTTGGATAAGATTTTCGGTTGCCATGTGTCCATATTTATTATAACATTAAGATCTCAAATTTCAGATAAGATTTTAGAATAAGATTCTCGGTTACCATGTGTCGATATTTATTATAAATTTCTAATATCATATTTCATATAAGATTTTCACCATCTAAAATTGCGTCATGTGTCGTCTCTATCTTCTAAATCACTCTATAAAACTACACCCTTAACTCAAATATCTCATACCATATTCTCTCTATCCTTTCATTTCTCCATGAATTTTTCTCCACATATAAGAGGACTTAATATCTTCTATGGTTGTCCATGATCCTCCAGTTTCAATGGAAGAGGTCATTTGTATTTTACACAAATGGAATTTAGTAGTAGAAAATTTGGTTTTGGTGTGGAAAGTGAAAAATATTGGAATGAGAAGAATTTGTATGAAGATTTGGTATGGAAAGTAAATAATATTGGTAGGTATTTATAGAAAAAATTTCAAGAATTTTTTGATATTTTTTACAAATTTGTTTGATATTTTTTTTCTTTCAATTTTTTAAGCAAAAAAATGGGTAGCTGTTGAATTAGATGAGATTTTCATATTGGAGCCTCCAAGAGAAGCCACGTGGCTTGTAGCTGTTGGTTTCTGGCAGTGCTGATGCAACGTTGACGTCAATGCAAGATTTTTAATTTTTTTTACCATTGACACGTGCATTATACTCGCCAACAATAAAAAAAAGATTAAATATCTTGTGCTGATGCCAACGTTGCGTCAGCACTGACGTTAGCTACCCACAGATAATGGCTGGGCCAGATCTCCCCGTAGGCTTGCCCGAGCTCATGAGTTCCACACCTTACCCGAACTGGATTTTCCGTGCTGGAGCTTCCTTCCGGGCCTAGGGCCCTCTCCTGCCTAGGCTAAACCCTTGCCGTGGAAGTGCTCTTAAGATTATGGATTCCTCGGCCATTGCCTTTATAAAAAATGCTTTCGCACGCTTTCCACACGCCCATTGCCTTTATTTCTTTATATTTTCCCGAAACTTCTCTCATCTCCTCATCTTCTCATCTTCTTCTTCTATTTCTCTTTCTTTTCCTCTTGTCTTCAGAATTATCTGTTATCATACTTTTGACTTTTATTTTCTCTCTCATTTGTCTCTCTTGCTCGACTCTCTCTCACTACTCTATGCCTCTCTCACCCACTCGGCTCTCTCTCTCTATCTCTTAATGGCAGATTCATGGCAGATCTGGTTGATTTAGATGCTGAGCTAGTGTGTTCTCCTCCATGGAAGAGATTCTAGGTATTGATTTTAAGATTTTTTGTTTGGGTGGTAATTTGGGGATGAATGTGGGTGATGCTAGGTATTGTTACTATATATTTTTTCAATTTAATCTTTTAGGTGCGATTTGGAGCATCATTTGTAGGTATTCAATTCTTCTTTTAATCCAAGAAATCTTTAGTTAGGTCATGAATATGTGGATTAACTCTAGATTATTTTTGGTTCTGTAATTAAGCATCAACTATGATGAGGTTGTAATTCACTGAGCCTCTCTGGTATCCCAGGTCTATTAAGATCTTTGCCTTGACAATTATGCATTCTTTGCCTTTTCTTTTTCTGTTTTTTTTTGGCATAATACGTACATACCTATATATATATGTGTGTGTGTGTGTGTGTGTATGCGTACTTGGGGTTGTTAATAAGCAGGAATTTATTGTTAATAAACACTGAGCTATAAAGTTCTAAGTAGGGCCCCTTGCTTGCTAACTAGCTGTGAAAGGAATGTATGCATAGAAATATCATATGCCCAAACTTAATCGAACACAATTATCAAATGGCTTAACCGATCCACCTCTGAGTTATCTATTTTCCATTGCTCTGCTTTAATGGATAAAATATTTACAGGGTTCAAGTCTAACCAGATGTTTACAGTTTTGTTTGAGAGTTGGTTTAATTTCTGTTTGGATTATAAGGAGCATAGTTATTATTTGTTCTTTATGTATTATTTTTGTGGTTTGTTTCAGGAACTTTTAGAAAATTTTAAGGACAAATTGGCATCTCAGAACCCGTCATTCAAATGATGTTGTTATGTAGGTTGTCATACTCTTTAACTGCTTGAAAGTACACTATCCTCACCCACCTGTCAGTTGATAAAGGAATCATGAAGATTGATATATATGATGAAAGTGATGGAAGCACGCCTAGGCCAAAGGAAAATGGTTGTTCTCTTAAGCCAGTTTCACCTGACGAGTCTGGTGAAGGTTTGCCTTATGCTCCTGTGAATTGGCCTAATCCTGGTGATACTTGGCGCTGGAAGGTAGGAAAGAGAGTTTCTGGAGCTGGACACTATCTGGATAGGTATCTCTATCTTCCAAAGAGCCTTCGCAATGCTGGTCTAACAACACGTAAGAAATATGGTTTTGCGAGCAAGCTTGCTGTTGAACGGTATATCCAAACAGCATTTCCTGGTGCAAACATCAATGAATTTTTTGCATCATTCTCCTGGAGGATCCCAGCACAAAAGTCGTCGTTGGCAAATGGTCAGCCGTAATCAATGTTAATTTTCTTTCCTCAAGTTTTGTGCCTTTTTGTCTTTACTTTTATTCATTTTTAATTTAAGCATTTTATATAAATAAAACAGTCCCCTCCTTGTCTGTCAATGATCTATTGTTTGATACCTGTGTTTGCGTTCTATTTTTTGCTGGTGATTTTTGAACTAGAGCCTTTTATCCAATTTTCTTGAAGAAGATGGGTAGCTAAGCTATTATTTCGTGAACTTATGTCTTGAAGGCCCATGTATTTACTTGTAGTGAATGGCTGGAGTAATGGTGTCAATTTTGGAAAAACTAATGGGCTATTTAAAGGCTGTCAGATTCTAATAAACATTCCTATAGGTTAAAATTTTCATTTCATATCAATTATCCAAACTGGTGTGTATTTTTGTCAACTTTCCTCCCCATATTTATAAGATCCTTGTGTTTTTACACATGATGAACATTGAGTGAAAAAATATGCACAAGAAAATTCAATCTTTCATAACAAATTGATGTCCTTGATATTGGTTTTAAAGTTTTCTGAAAAAAGAAAATTCGTGTTCAAGAAGACATCTCGTTTGGTTTTCATGTCTCAGCTTATTGGATAATCAATAACATTACTTTCATGTTGCAACAGCATGTTTGAAATGATAGCATATATATCTGCTGACATGCATAAGTTTTGCCTTTGGAAATGGTTTTTATCACATCTAGTTCTGTGCTTTCTTTTTGTGGGGTTTATACAGGTACTGCAAGGCTGAAGCATGTGCCATGTATTCCGCCTTCCGAGGAATCTGATTCGCAGTCTGACACTGTATGCTGTAAGGCCGGAAATAAGATGTGCAACAGTTTGTTGGAACAATCAGAAAACCCACCTTTGGCAGTCATGGAGTGTGATATTTGCTGCACTGAACCTAAGTTCTGTCGTGATTGCTGTTGTATTCTTTGTTGCAAGACTATAAATTCATCATATGGAGGCTATGATTACATTAGATGTGAAGCAATGATGGATGAGAGTTGTATATGTGGGCATGCTGCCCACATTGATTGTGCTCTGAGATGTTACATGGCTGGCACTGTGGGAGGAAGCATTGGGTTGGATTCTGAATACTATTGCAGGCGCTGTGATGCAAGGACAGATCTGGTTTCACATGTCACGAGGATTTTACATACATGTGAATCGCTTGATTCTCGGGATGACATTGAGAAGATTTTAAATCTCGGTGTCTGCATTTTGCGTGGTTCACAAAAAACCAGTGCAAATGAGTTGCTGAAACGTATTGAAGTGGTCATTGCAAAGGTAAAAGTAATAGCTTTATAGTAGTTTATCCTTGTCCACACTTGAGTTCCCAAGGACCAGCAATATAACATTTTGCTATATTGATCAGCTTAAATGTGGGACTTGTCTTGAAGATATTTGGAAAGAGGAAGACAATATTTCAGCTGTTTCTATGGGTAATTTTCCCTTTATAAAATCAAGTAATTATGTTATGATGAACAGCTTACTAGTTTTTGGATGCAACTTAAAAATATAATTAATAAATTAGTAGCGTGTGCACAAGGTTTTAAAAGTGCATAGTCATGCAAGAGTATTGAAAATACTCTCTCTCTCTCGTGGAAATTGAAGTGCTTTTCTTTCCCAATGATCCCTTTTCCACTAAATTTCAGTTGCAAGACACAAATATTTATCTATCTCTCTCTCTCTGTGATGGACGGTTATTGTTTAAATACAGATGTCTCTCATCAAGGAAATACTGCCCTGGAAGTTACAGCATGCCCTGAGCCCATAGGTGTCAGAACAAGTTCAGAAGTAATGTCTACATCTTTTCATTATCGAACTGAGTCTCAAAAACTTGAGGTAGAGATTGATCAGGTTCTGCAGGCACTAAGAAAGTCACAGGAGTCTGAATTTAGAATGGCGGAGGATAGCCTTCATGCACAAAAGAACTATCTTTGTAATCTGTATCAGCAACTTGAGAAGGAGAAGTCTGATTTGGTACGGTGCACATCACCTGACCCAGATGCTTTACTGAGTACTGTATTGAGCAGAGTGAAGCAGATTAAAGGGGAAGTAAAAAAGCTCAAGGATATGGAAGAAGTGGCCAATGGGTTTGGAAAGACTTCTAGAGCTATCCTGAAGGAACACTTCAGTTTAGAAATTGAGGAATGAAGTAAACCCTTACCGGATTATGATGGTTTATTTTCATCATTTGTTCATTAAATTTTGGTCTTGAACTGGCTTCTTCATGGTTTGAACTGAATAGCCATATAATTTTCTTGCGATTGTGCTGTCACAGTTGTGTGAGGTTCATATATGAGGGTCTGTATCAGAATGAGCCGGTGCGTGGTGATGACATGTCATGCCTGGCAGAACAAAGGGATGAAGACCCCGTTGAAAAACCAGAAATCCTTAGTGGCTTATTAAACAAAGTGAATGAGATAAGATGTAAAGGTTGTGGCTCTGTCCTGAGTGATCAAGAAAGACTGACAGTGGATGCTTAAGGAACCCTCCATGCCGAGGTTTGTATCCTATCAGCTCCCTAAGAATCTGTATCTTCTTGCAGTGAACTGATCATTGTGTTTTTCGATGAAATGGCACATGAGAAGTCATTGCAAATACTCTGTTTAAAGCATCAGGCAGCTGTGTTCTAGCACACAGCTTCCCAATTTCCCTGATTAGCAGCTGTGTTTTTCTTTTTATGTTTTTGTCAAGACGGTTTGCCTGGCCGGGAAGTTGGAAATTTTGGCAATTAGAAACATTTTGGATCGGAACTGCATCGTTTTGTTAGTTCGTTGTCTCTGGCTAGAGATTTGCGGAAATGCAAATGTAAACATTGACGTTTCCTGTACACGGTACATATATACAAAATGCAGGAATAAGTTCCTTCAGAATGAAATGGACTATCATTTTTATTCTTTAATAATTTTGTTGTGTTTATTTATTTTGTTATTTTGTTAATGACTAATCCATAAAAGAGAGATTACAACAAAACTCATTAAGGTTTTGATTGTTTAGGTTACCAAAATTCTTTAACCTGATCCTCGGGCACATTTTGGTCCGATTGTGAAATGAGGGGAGATAGAAAGGAAGTAATGATTACTACATGACCCAGTTTGGTTTTTTTTTCTTCTTCAAGTTTCGAATAATATCTGTGATTTACAATAAATAGTAATCGTGAGGCTGTGAAGTTACAAGAAGCATTTAGCTTCTGTGAGGCTGTGAAGTTACAGCAATAACCTCTCATGCTAGTAGCTTGATAAATTAATGAAGGAAATGATGAATGCCGAGACTCCATTGTAAATATTTTTTTTTGACTGATAGCATATCAACATGACTGAATTTGGAGATGTGAAACGAGACAAGAATGTCACAATGCCAAAACCTAGGCAACTTTTACAAGGAAACTAAAGCACAACCCATTCTTAACTCTCAAAGCAAGACATCTCCATAAAAGAATCAGTTGTCTACATTCAGAGAAAATTGCCAGCAAATCCAACCATATCATCCCAAATCCATCCTGGGGCATGCTATGTCTAACCAAGAAAACCTCTGGCTTTCTGATTAACAAATTGAAAGGTTAAAAAATAAGGAAGAGACAAAGGAAGAAAAGGGCAGTAGCATGTCAAGCAGGAGAATCAGATTCTACATAAAGCATCTTCAAGGCAACTCATCAGTAGCACTCAGCCGATGATCATGAGAGAGAGAGAGAGAGAGAGAGAGAGAGAGAGAGAGAGGTAATCACAAAAGAATCATCAGAAAAACACTAAGAAAAAGGGAGTAACGAGAGAGAGAGAGAGAGGTCATCACAAAAGAATCATCAGAAAAACACTAAGAAAAAGGGAGTAAAAGGCTGTATAAGATACTGTTATATATAATCACATTGCTAGACACTGAAAAGCAAAGATATGGCCATCTCATTTAATTGGTAAACGTGAAAAATAAAGGGCACGTTTGATAACCATTTCAATTTTAGTTTTTAGTTTTCATTTTTTGTGCTAGAGTATAGAGGAAAAAGAGGGAAAACGGAATTGAGAATGAGAGTAGAGATGGGATTGAGAGGGAATATGAGAGGGAAGGATGGGAGGGAAGAGTAACAAAAGTGAAAACAAAAACTAAAAACTGAAATCTATTTGAAATTGTTTTCACTTTTGTTACTCCTCCCTCCCATCCTCCCATCTCATCCTCTCTCTCAATCTCATCCTCATTCTCATTCTCACTCTCATTTTCTTCTATACTTACAAAAAATGAAAACTAAAAACTAAAATTGAAATGGTTATCAAACGTGGAAAGTAAATCACTTCAGCTCACATTAGAAAACCATATATGGATCCTTTAGGTTGACCAGTAGACCATGTACAGACCCACCAAGTGGACCATCCATGGTTCCAATAAGTGGGCCAGAAGCATATATTCTTAACTATGAAGTAATGCAGGCATTGGTTCCTGGTAATTTTTATGCAACAAGGGCAGATAACTTACTTCCACCAAAAGTTCTAAAATGGAAATTTTTTTTTCAAGGAATTGAAAATCAAGAAAAACAGTCAATTGGATAGCAGAGTCTCCAGAACTAGGTCATAAGAGAACCAGAGCATAATTAAGGCTAAACATTGATCACTGAGAATATGTAAAGAAGGGGATAGGTTGAATAAGTTGAGAGTTTAGATTATAAAGAGAACAAAATATTTGGTGTCTTCAAAAAGACATTCTTTCGTCCTGTAGGTGAATGAATAATCTTTTCAGAAAACACAAAAAGAGATTCATATAATATGAGGGCAAAGTAAATCTCCCAGAAAACAAAAAGAAAGGTGAGCACAAAGCACTATTTGCCTATAAACTCAAGTACACTATAATTAAAAATACTGATCAGAACCCAAAAACCATCATGCACCTGCAAAAGCAACACAAATGAGCTAAATGAATCTAAAGGCCAGCCATTTCAAATACCACCATTGCCAAAACCAACATTTCTTCATTCAACAAGAACAGCATACAACAACTAGTTCCATCAACAACAGCCTCAGATGCTTAAGTTGCAAGCTAAATTCAACTTCATTGGAACAACTAAAATTATAAACCCCCAAAAGAAGAAAAAAAAAGAAAAAAAAAGAAAAAAAAGAAGAAAGAAAAAAAAAGAGAGAATACATTACTGTACAAGCACAAGGCGGTTACCCATACCTCCTCTGAAACCCCCATTCCCATTCCCATCTCCATCACCCCAAACCTCTCCACCGCCATTTCCACCGTCCGAATTCTCGATCCCCTCGGCCTTCGGCACCGTCACGATAAGCTCACCGTCGACGAAAACCGCGCTTGCCAACTCGGGCCGAGTCGACTCGGGCAGCCGAAACCTCCACATGTCGAGCTCAAGCTCGTCCAATGTCAATTCCGCCGACCCACTTTCCCGAACCACGATTTTGGTCACACCCGGATAGATTTCGACGGTGTGGGCCCTCACGCCGTCGCCGATGTTATCTGTTTCGGCAATAAATCGGAAGCAATCGGGGTTCTCCTCGACCAAAACTTCGGCGTCGGAGCGAAATGGAAGCTCCAGGACCCGACTGAAGACATGAGGCAGGCGGCGGAGCTTCTTGTGGGTCAGACCCAGAAGGGCCTCAGCTTCAGAAAGTGGGTTGCTTGAGTTGTATTGGATGGTGATGTTGCGCTTCTTGGGCATCGGGTGGACCTTCATGGCTTGGGCTTCAATGGCTGTGGTGGAGGTGCAGAAGAAAGAGAGAGATTGAGACAAGATTAATAGAAATATGAAAGATGCCCTTGTGAAAAGGGAAGGCCAATCTTGGGTGGGAATCAAAATCCTGATTGGGTGGTTGTTTTTATGAAAAGAAAGAATCATAAAGGATTGGTGGGAAAATTTGTTTTGGGTATATATGGGTTTTGTTTGCTTTGCTTTGCTTGTTTTGGGATGAGACTTGATGGGAAACTAAAAGAAATACCCTAACCCTAGAAATTGGGTTGAAATGAATTGAATTGAATTGAATTTCCCTATCTGTGTTTGTGTGAGAGATTGAGTCCCCAGAAAAGGCAAAATTCTTTTTAATGAAAGGAATGCTGCTGCAAAGGCAAAGGCAAATGCTGTCAATGAAATCTCCCTTTCTGGGTATGCATAGTGGCTAGAGCCCATGGGGAGAATATAAAAAATGCAAGGAGGGTTGGGGTTTCATCCTTGGACTTTGCCAAAATTACAATTCTGGCCATTTTATTTTTTGGACCATCCAAAATCTTATAGCTTTTTTTGTACCAAAGAAATCTTTACAGGTCTGATATTCTTACTTTTTAAATACAAAGGTTGAGTTTTGTTGTCAGTATATGCATGGTTAATGGGTCATGGCCTCATGGATGTGGAAGCAGCAAGGTGGGTTTAGGCAATGAATGAATGACAGACCTCTTTTTTGGCAATTACTATATCAGTTCTTTGTTTTTTTTTGAAGATTTTTTCTATTGAAATGAACGATAATATATTAAACTCACATACGCTGTATAGATGCTAGTACTTGAACTCAAAACATTTTTCTTAGAGAAAATTATTCTAAACCATTATACTAGTGGGTCATTTGTCTGTATCAGTTCATATGACTATTGATTTTATTTTTGTTTTTGGTTTAATGGGAGAAGAGAAAATGGCTCTGTAAAAGAGCGAAAGATAGAACTCTCTGAAAAAATTGATGTCTCTTCTTAAGAGCAAATTCAAGAGCATCTTTTATTCTTAGTGTGTATTTCATATTTTGATTTAAAGAAGGAGTGTTGATAGAAAAAGAGGAAATAAGGAAAAAAAGAAAGGAAAGATATTCCTTTAATAATATTAGAGTAATGCTACACTTACCACATTATTATCTCACATTTTTATACCACATGATGTGGCATGTCCATATCATATGTCATATCAATTAAATTAATGAAGTGTATTTTAATAAAGAAAATTAGAAAAACAGAAACTAGTATTTTACATGATGTGGTATGTACACATCAGCTGCCACATCATGTGATATAAAATTGTGGTATAAAAAATGTGATAAGACTAGTATTATTCATAATATTATAGAATAATATACACGTACATAGGAAGTAGTTTCTTAGTAATTGTAAGTCACTTTCTAAGATCTAGAGTCGTGACACAATTTAGGGTGTCGTCTTGAATATTTCGGCTTTTTATGTGGGCCTTTGCGAACACGTTTTGGGATTCCTTATGACATTTAGATATTGTGATAACTATTTTTCTTTTTTCTTTTTAAGTATGGTTTATTTAATTTATTTTTCTTTTTTTATATATTGTTATAAAAATATTAATATAAAAATGGTTTATTTTCTATAGTAATAAAAATATGAACCTTGGTCTTACAAGAACAACAATTAATATAATTAAAAATCAGAAAAATCATGACCAAAAAAAATATATATATATATATCTTGCAATTTCATTATTTGTAAGAAGGGGTTGTGGGGAATGGGGGCACATGCCTTCTCAAATATTGAGGGGCACCTTCTTAGAAATTACAGTCCACCTTCATCCTTGTCTAATAAATCAAGACCGTGAGTTGCACTTTCGACTTTGTAGGACACGGTAATTAGAGAAAAGAAATTGCACTTTTGTCACAGAAAACCCTAAACCAAAGCAAAGAAAAATTTATGTGGCTGCTTACATAATTAATTAAATGATAATTTATAGTTTAAAATTTGGCTTTTTACAAAATTTCAAATGGATCAACTCAGCGTGTTTTAAATTTTAAAATTAAAAGATCATAGAAAATACAAGAAAATTTGAGACACGAAATGCATCTTTTATGTAATTATATAAAGACACGGAATGAAGGTTCCTTGATCCTTCCCCGAAGGGCGGCCAACTAAAACAAAACTATCTTTAATTCATCATCTCTACAAAGTTTTGGATTAAATTTTGTCTGGTTTCAGATGGCCAAACGCGTGGGGAGGTCCTGCCTGATGCAGACAGTACTTGCTGTACTTTTCATTGTATATTTCGCAAAAAGAAAAAAAGAAACGAGCATGTATATATATATTTTGTCCTTAAAAAAAATAATTTATTTGAATTAAACCCAAAAATTAGAGGGTGGACGCATTAAAACTAGGGACATTTGGTAATATATTACCAAGGCTTAATATATGCTTACTAGCTTTCCACTACTCTGGAACCAAGAACACAGAAAGTGCTTAACGGGAAAATATGATATGTGCATCTCCAAACCAACCACTTATTTTTGTTCTTGCCCATTGCAGGAGCACTTACATTTACAAGTGCCTATCGAGCCCAAATGGAACTTCACTATTTGATTCTTCAATAATTACACAGCAGTGAAAAGTAAATGACAGTAACTTGCCCGATACAGTTATAAAGTTCATAAAGATGCTCTTCCTGAAGGAGGCTGTCAAACACACAAAACACTAGGAAAAAGCAACTTCTAATTCCGTTTAACTCTCCCCTTTGATCTTCTCCACTGTTCAATTGCATTCAACTCGCAGTTACGTTTGTTGGTAGTGTGGTAAGTCTTCTTGATGGTGCATCCGACGCCTACGGTGAGATCTTTTCCGGTTACGAGTGTGTGCTTTCGGGGAACTGCTGGAGGTACTCGGAAGAAGAATCTCCTCACTTGTTGTACTACCAAAAACACAATCAAGCGGGTCTACCATTGAATCAACACCCGAGTTCGTCTACAATAAGAAAAGGCCGAGTCAGTCTACAATAAGAAATTGCTGAGTCAGTATATAAGGGACCTTTATCATATGCCGAGTCAGTAAGAGTAATTTCCAAAGTTTCAGCAATACCTCAATTCCAAATCATTCTTCTGCACTACCATCATTACTTTAAGAACTAATTTCATCAGTAGTTTAAGGCCATTTTTACTAAGAAAAGAAATTACTCGATAAGTATTCTTACAGGAACTTGTTTGGGATCAAATTTGACCCATTTTTTGTCAGAGACATTTTGGGTGTGTTGGGAATCACTGCCAGAGGTAGTGTTTTGGTTACCATGGGAACCCTTGTCCGAATCACCTTGAGAGTTGCTGTAAGAGTCGCTGTCATTTGTTTCTCGACCATGGGTAATGTTATCACTAAAATAATTCCGATAACGCCACCTTATTGTTGGTTGATCTGAGGTAGCATCATCAAAAACTTTCTCAGAGTAGAACTGTTTAGAGATAAGCCGCATCCTAGAAGGATCATTCTGGTACTTCCTCACCATTCTGTCATTTGAATAACAATTCATAGTTCAAAAATTCAAAGGGAGCATATGTACTCTGATAATTACATAAAAATCCAAGTATCCCAAGATGTAATGGGAGCACATATATTGGTCATATATTAAAATGCATTTTTTCTAGCCTGGATAGATGTACAGTAATATGTACTCTGATAATTACATACACAAATCCAAGTAAACAATGCCAACGATGTAATGGAAGGGCAGACAATAGCTATACGCAGAAATGAAGTTTTTCGTGAATCTAACCATGTAGAGTAAATGACAATGTCTGTGAAAGAGCAGAAGTTTTAAGCAGGTTTGGGCACCACTCCCTTATTTATTACATTTACAACTTAAGACGCTTACGGGAAAAGATGATGGTGGAAGGCAATATTGAACGGTAAAATGAGTCTGTAGTCTATTTGTCACACTCTCTACATACTGTACTTTACAAGTCAAGGGTGACTTAATTTAAATTTAAAACTAGTGCATGAGAACAACAATAATATACCATGACCTCTCATAATAGACAAAAAACTACTTCCAAGAGAGTTATTTAGATTATGATGCTTATCTACACTCTTCAGAAAAATTTAATTGCAACAAAAATATAACGGGTGACATGAACGGCATCCATTCCAGGCTACTGGCTAGGCCACAAACCTGGATAAACTAGGCTCTTTGAAAACATTGACTTTTAACCTTTTCTTTGAGATGATTTTTAGCCCAGTGCAACTCCAATTAATGGGCTACTTCCTAGACTTCAGAATGATATTGACTTGAATTTGATAATCAAATGAGGAAAACGAACTAATTAAATTTTCGTAAACTAATAAGTGATGCTAGTGATCTTTGGCTAACTTAGATCAGCAACCATGGCCTGCCAACATGTCTATTCATGAATGCCAGAAGACAATAAGTTTTCCTAGAAAACTGCACCGAGTGAATTCATTACAATCCTAAAAATAAGTAAGGTGACATACATAGTTGCTAACTCCGCCTGCATCCTACTTCCATCCTGAGAAAGAATATGGTTAACACATGAATCTAAGGATCTAGAGAATCTCCACAGTCCAAATAAAGCAGCAGCTCCTGCAGAAGAGTAAACATGATTTAAATGTGAAATGATGGATAGCTAAGATCATGGATAAATAGATAGATAGTTTAATTCACCTCCTGAAAGGTTGATTCGAATAAGCTTATTCAGCTTTGAAGATGCTGCCATAAAGCAATTGAGATTGTTAAAAAAAGGAAACACAGAAATAAACGAAAATGATGAAAAAGAAGTAATAGCAATCCATATTCACAGTTATAGGACCCCAAAAAAGAACCTATGATCTTTTAACCTAAGTTAAAGGCGGCGAAAAAATATACAAAATTGTTTATTAAAGAATCCTACCATATTTTTCACCAGCTCGATCACTCGAATGAGTATGAAAAAAATCCAGTACATTATTGATATGCAGACGGTAAATGACTCTTAAAAGAACCAGGAAATATGTAAGCAGTACAACTCTCTAAACCATATAATTTCAATTGCGGAACTGATATCCTTTTCCACTTGAACTGTTTCAATAAAAAAGTGAAAATGAGAAAAAGAAGAAAGAAAAAAAAAGAACAAGAAAGCAGATGTATCAATGGATTGCTCTTCTCCAAGCAGGGCAGCCCACATGATTCAATAGACTGTACGTAGTGCATATCATGCAAACCTTCATTATAGCTTTGTTTTCTAACAAGCAGCCTTGAAACATACTACGCATGAATTTATTGACAGGTGTTCGAATCTATGTGTAGTAATCTGCAGACATCTCATGTTAACTACCTTAAAACTATGGAACAATGAGAAGTCGAACTACTAGTGAACCCATGTTTCTCTATCCAAAACCAATCCAAATTGTTAACTAAAAATGACCAAATCAAAAGTGGGTTGTCCTGAATGTGAATTCAAAATGCAAGTCAAATTGGTTCATAATAAAAAGTCGTTCGCCTGTACCACTACTATTATATCATACAATTACAAGCTTTGGAGAAATCAATGGCATTGCAAAACTCTGACCTCCCAATATTTAAAACACATAGAAACTCATAATTGGAAGATAAAATTTTAAAAAAAAAAAAAAAAAAAAAAAAAAAAAAAAAAAAAAAAAAAAACAAAACAAAAGAAGAAGAAGTGTCAAATGAGAGACCTGTCCAGGCAACAGTAGCAGCAGCAAGACCTCCGAATGTAAACTCCCTGACAGCCTTGGACTTGCAAGTTAAAAGAAGCGTTCTTTCTTCAGGCGTCAAATTGACCTGAAACATTATGTACAGCAAAGTTAGCAATTAATGGGCGCTTGTTTGCTACCGTTTCGGCCAACGTGAATTGGCTTTTGGGTTTCGAGGATTTTCATACCTTTTTGGACCTGAAATGTTGCTCCAGCTCGAACAGAGCTTCGCCCATTTTGCTGTTTTGGGGATTTCGGATCATAATGTATTTTCCCGTATATAGTATGCTATACACTCCAAAACGACATGTCGTTTTTCTGGTAGTCATGCGATTAGATAAACTAAGTGCCTCCTGCTTCCCTCCATTTTTCTTCCATCCTCCCCCAACTTCAAACCAACCACCGTAACTTTGAAGGTTTGAACTTTGAAGAAATATCAATGGCGAAGAAGCCCTGAGTAAACACTCAAGAAACCATTTTCCTTCACTTTCTCACTTCCCAAACACAATGGTAAGCCTTCCCCACACCACTCTGGCTCTCCCTCCAAACCCAAACCCGAACCCGAACCCAAATGCCAACACACCCACAACCCTCTTCACAGCCATATCCTCCTCCAAGAACCTGAGACAGCTCAAACAAGTCCACGCCCAAATCCTAAAATCCAATCTTGACCGCTCCGACGACCTTCTTTTCAATCTCCTTCTCTCCTCTTGTACCCTCTCGCCGAGCCTCCACTACCCTCTCTCAGTCTTCAACCAAATATCGAAACCCCAAACCCATTTGTGCAACAAGCTCCTGCGTGAGTTCTCGCGACGTGCAGAGCCTGATAAGGCGCTTTTGGTTTATGAGAGGATGAGGAGGGAGGATGTGGCTGTGGATAGGTTCAGCTTTCCGCCATTGTTAAAGGCTGTGTCCAGAGCTTCGGCTTTAACTGAAGGGGTGGAGATTCATGGGCTCGCCTTGAAGTTGGGTTTTGATTCGGACCCGTTTGTGGAGACGGCGTTGGTTAGAATGTATGCGGCTTGTGAGAGGATTATGGAGGCACGCTTGGTGTTTGATAAAATGTCTTGCCGAGATGTCGTTGCGTGGAGTATTATGATTAATGGGTATTGTTTCGTTCTAATGTTTCAAGTTATTCAAAAAAAAATTGGCATCCGAAGGCGATAGAATTACTGTATTAACGTTTTCAAGAGTCCCAAAAGAAGTTTGAAGTTTTGATCTTAAGGAGCCCAGTATCAAGAATTAAGTGTTCACTTGACGGGAAAACAATTTTTGGAATGATTTTCACCTCTAGATTGTTTCAATCATTCATTAGAATTGAAAGTTTATCTCTTTCATTTGACCTGTGACATTTACAAACAGGTACTGTCAGAGCGGCCTTTTTGACACAGCATTTTACCTCTTTGAAGAGATGAAGAACTCTAACATGGAGCCAGACCCAGATGAGATGATTCTTTCTGCCATTCTTTCTGCTTGCGGTCGTGCTGGAAAGTTAACTTACGGGAAAGCAATCCATGACTTCATTAAGGAGAATGATATCATGGTTGACTCTCATTTACGAAGCGCTCTTGTCGCCATGTATGCAGGTTGTGGCTCTATGGATTTGGCTCAGCAATTGTTTGACAAGACATCACCAAAAGATTTTGTAGTTGCAACTGCCATGGTTTCTGGGTATTCAAAACTAGGGCGGGTTGAGGATGCACGTTTAATTTTTAACCAAATTGTTGAGAAGGACTTGGTGTGTTGGAGTGCTATGATATCTGGTTATGCTGACAGTGATCGACCTCAAGAGGCTCTTAGATTGTTCAATGAAATGGAAGTTTCAGGAATAAGACCTGATCAGGTCACCATGTTGAGTGTCATTTCAGCTTGTGGTCATCTGGGTGCACTGGATCAAGCCAAGTGGGTCCATTTATATGTTGGCAAGAATGGATTTGGCAGAGTTTTGTCTGTCAACAATGCCCTCATTGATATGTATGCCAAATGTGGGAGCTTGGAAAGAGCAAAAGAGGTATTTGAGAAAATGAGAAGAAGAAACGTAATATCTTGGACCACTATGATTACCGCCTTTGCCATGCATGGGGATGCTAGTAATGCACTAAACTTCTTCAATCAAATGAAAGATGAGAATGTTGAGCCCAATGGGGTTACATTTGTGGGCGTGCTTTATGCTTGTAGCCATGCAGGGTTAGTTGAGAAGGGCAGAAAAATCTTTGAATTGATGATCAATGAATACAACATCATTCCGAAACATGAGCACTATGGTTGCATGGTTGACCTCTATGGTCGTGCTGGTCTCCTGACAGAAGCTCTTGAGGTTATAGAGGCAATGCCGTTTGCACCAAATGTTGTCATCTGGGGATCTTTGATGGCTGCTTGTCAGATTCATGGTGAGATGGAATTGGGAGAATTTGCTGCAAAACAGCTTCTTGAGATGGAACCAGAGCATGATGGAGCCCTTGTGGCCTTATCAAATATTTATGCAAAACAAAGAAGATGGGAAGATGTTGGAATGGTGAGGAAGAAAATGAAAAATAGTGATATCTCTAAGGAGAGGGGATATAGCAGGATAGAGCTAAACAATGAGGTACATGAGTTTTTAATGGCGGATAGAAGTCATAAACAAGCAGATCATATCTATAAAAAATTAGATGAGGTAGTCAGTGAGCTGAAGTGGGCTGGTTATACTCCCAACACATGTTGTGTTTTGGTTGATTTAGAAGAGGAAGAAAAGAAGGAAGCCATTCTCTTGCACAGTGAGAAGTTGGCTCTTTCTTATGGTTTGATAAGTAAAACGAAAGGTTCTAGCATTCGCATAGTTAAGAATCTCAGGATCTGTGAAGACTGCCATGCTTTCATGAAGTTCGCTTCAAAAGTCTATGAGAGAGAGATTATTGTCAGAGATAGGACTAGGTTTCACCACTACAAACATGGTTTCTGTTCTTGTAAAGACTATTGGTAATGTATTATTTGTTGATATTAAATCAGTGTACTTAATTAATAATTTATTTGAAATTAAAATGTCAATAATGAAAATGTTGGTGCTAAAAAAACTTCTAATATAAAATTCAGAAGAAAAGTAGCCCGAGGATTTGGTCTAATGTTCTTGCTGGTGACTACTTTTTGATTGATTAATGTGTGCATGGCCTCTAATAGTTACGGACACTTCCCTAGAATTGTATTTTCTGGCAATTTGCAGGTGCAACAGCACAAGGAGAAACTTACAAATGCAATATTTTCAAATGACTTGGTAAGGTAAAACTCTTAAGCTACAAGTCATTATTTTGAGCCTTGTTCAAGATATTTCGTTTAGAACAATTTGAGATACTATCTGGATTCATAGAGCCACACAGAAGCTAGTTTCTTGCTAGTTAATCAATATCAGGAAAGCAACAATTTCCTGATTACATTACATTGTTAGGCAACATATACAGTTTGAAATCAAAATTAATAATTAAGTCAAGAGGTTCCAGAAAACCACAGAACACATGGGGAAATTTCTTTTTTAAGCTTCTCACAAGATATGAGATCTGGATATCTGCTGAGAGAAGACATTGCACCTCCGATGTCCACTGATTCTCTTTAGGTTGGGATTTTGATGTTATATCCTGCAGTAGTTTGAAGGTACTGGTTGTTTCCAAAAGTAGAGCAGAGCCAAAACTTCTGCTTCATACTTCCAAGCATTCTTGACATCCTATTCTTCAAAAAGGCTACTGCAGCTGAAACCAATCTTTGGCCATCAAATGTTGAGCTCCACTGGTACTCAAGAATCCATGTATTCGGATCTAACTGCACAGCTGAGGCACCCCAATTTTTCTGCACCCAGGAAGTGTTTGCCTTTCGAATCACATAGCCAAGCTTTCCATCCGACCACTTCTCAACAACATCGACAATGGGGGTAAGGAAGTAGCATATGTTTGTACATCATGACACAAAACTGAAAAAACATCTCAAGGGCTGACCATACTAAGGCTAATAGAAATGATCTAGCAACAAAGTTTTCAGCTTTACCTCTGTGACTCTGCCGGATAAGATTGTGAAAGACCGGGAAGAAAATCCACTTGTGAGCAACCCTGCGGTCTGCAAAGGCCATCCCCATACGCCCACCTCCTCAATTGCAGATTTATATAATGTGCAATGTGAGCTCAGAAGCAAACCATCCTAACAGATCAGAAATTTCAAGTTTTTACCAAAAGGGTTGAACCAAATAAGCTGAATAAAATTTACTTCAAAAGAAAGAAAGAAACAGAAGAAGTTTGATTACCACGCACCTGACTAATTTCCCATATAGAATTAGAATAGCTGCAATTTGAAACCTTTCCTTGAACAAGACCCTGCACCTCTTTCTGCAAGAACCTCAGCCTCCCATTCAAATCATCCACAGCCCAAGATTTTTCACCAACATTTCTCACCATCTCAGGTGACAGAACAGGTTTCAAAGCCCCAGAGACCAGATTAGAAACTCCACTCACAGCAAAATAAACCAAGCTTAAACCCAAAATCATTCTCCAAAAATCACACCCAAAACCCCAATTTCTCTCCCTCTTCTTAATCTTTTCCTTCACTTTCAATCTTGCAGACGATTTACGACCCGGGGACTTTGGAATCTGAGGAGAGTTTGATCTGGGTGTGGACAAAACCGAAGCATCAAAAGAGATGGGAGTGAGTTCAACACTGCGGTTGGTCTTGGGCCTTGAAGCTGAGAACTTGGTGAGTGTGCTTTTCTGGGAGCTAAAAGGCATGAGATCAAGAGTGGCATTGATGCTGGCCAAGCACATATCACACTTGCAGTTGGCGTCTTTTCTGCATCCTGGGTAGTAGCAGCTGTCACGATTTTCAGATCGGTCGTCTTCCATGGAGGCCGTGGTGGTGCTCGATCTCACTGAGGATGATGTTGTGGTCGTCGTGGTTGACGAAGATGAGAGGACGGTTTTCATGGCTGCTTGGGTGCTTCGGGGTTTAGGAGAGTGACTTGGTTTCTTAGACGACATGGTCTTTTAGTGTTGTTCAATGCTTACTGTGCGGGGAAGATATGGGTTTTAAATTTCAAAATCCCCAACGGTCATATATGGCATTGGTCAGATACGATTTTTTTTTAAAAGTACAAGAAGTAAAGTTACCTATATGGCTTTTCAAATTACCATATAGGTAAGCAAAATAAATTATGAAGAGCCATATTTACTTCATTTCAGATAATATGAGCAAACTATCCCTTATTCATAAATAACAGCAATAATTACACAGACTGGCTCATCACTCATGTATAACTTATGCAAAATCAACTCATAAATTGATTTTTTTAAAGAAAATAAAAGCACTTTGTAAAATTATTTAAGATAACTGAATATAATTCATTAGTATTTATTAAGTAATTTATGAAATTAATTAAAATACTGAATACTAATTATTCATTAAATAAAGAATAATTAATATAATTAAATAAGTCTAAAATATTAATTGCAAATTATTAAACTAAACAAACTAATTTTTTATTAAAAAAATTTTAAAAAAATAAAGTCCACAACATAATTTAAAATAATTAATTACTAGTTATTAAGTTTGATCAAATTAGTAAAATATTTAAATACTAATTATTCACTAAAGAAATAATAATTAAAACATAATTACTAATTAAAAGGCTAAAGTATTACTTAATTACAAAAAAAGAAAACCATTTTGTAAAGTATAGCCGAGCGGCTATACGTTTAAAATACTTGAATATATTCGTATAGCCGCGGCTATACTTTTGCAACACATTAATACTTAAAACGTATGGCCGTACGGCTTATAATACATTAGTATAGCCGTGCGGCTATACTCTCTAAATGTGTACGAATATTTTAAAAGTATAGCCGCGCGGCCATACCGGATGTAAATATATTTGAATATTTTAACAGTATAGCCGCGCGGCTATACTTTACAAAATGGTTTTTTTTTAAAATTAAATAATACTTTAGCCTTTTTAAATTACTTTAATTATTATTTATTTAATGAATAATTAGTATTTAAATATTTTACTAAATTAATCAATTACTTAATAAATAGTAATTAATGATTTTAAATTATTTGTGGACTTTTTTTATATAGTTTGTTTAGTTTAATATTTTTGCAGTTAAGTTAACTTAACCTCATTTATATATTAATTATTATTTTTGTTTTAATTATTATTTATTTAATGAATAATTAGTATTTAAGTATTTTAATTAATTTCATAAATTACTTAATAAATACTAATTAGTTATATTTACTTATCTTAAATAATTTTGTCTCAACAATCAACTGTTTACTAATTCCTCATATTCCTATTTATATCAAGTGAATATGCTAGGCATAAGTTAGGCATAATGCTTATTGTATACTCCTATAGGAATCAGTGCAAATGGTATAATATTTAACATTAACATGAGCATCAGAGTTAATTTTGTTATAACATGAGCATTATGTGCTTGTTTTAGTTTATTTCTCCTTTAATGTCCATCTACATCTATAGCCATTTTAATAAACGAAAACAAGATGCTCGGTTAACTTGTCTCTTGTGCTTTTCCTTCATCCTCCAAAAAGTAGGTGTGCTATTTGCTTTTTTAATAAGAATCCCACGACATCATAGTTGTGTTTGTGTGTGTGAAATCTCCATTTCCTATAGTTTAGACTATCGCTTGTATTAAAAAATAAAAAATAAAAATCTATTTTCACAATTCATTTTCTTTTCCTTCTTCATGTATTTAATAGAAAGCATGTGCAAAGTTTGACTAATCTTTCTCGAGAAAATGCTGCTACAAGATGGGGACCTGCATTTTGCTCGTGTTGGTTGAGTTTTGGGTAAATAGAATGTGCTGGAATTGAAATTCCTAAATAATTAAGCAGGCATATATCTGAGGATCTGTGGTTGAGGTGTACAAGTTCTACTCTGAGACTAGATTTCTACGGTTTCTTGCACGCCACACAAAACTTTTGGAATCAGATTGATTCATGACACGATGCTTCTTCATGAGTCGTAGCAGGCATTGACAATTCAGGTCACACATGGCAATGGCATCTTCTAATGCTTTACTAAAATAAAAAACAGTATGTCACAAAAAGCACGGTAACAGATCACATGGACCAAACCTAGTGAAAAAATCTGCCCACAATGAACTAGGGAATTTTGATTAGGGTGTCAATGTTATGCGTCAATATTCTCCGTCAAAATATGTATTTTAATTTTTAAAACATATCAACTTTCATTATGTGTTTCACACATCTGTCTCGTACCAAACTCACACACACATTTGCACACGTATGAACAACCGAGAATTGTTGATTAATTAATTGTCAATCAATTATTCACGTTTGTGATTGGATGATGGTTAGCATATAAGATTGTAGAAATTATCTTCCACAACCACTTATTAATTATATTGGGAAAAGTCATGCATTAGGTAATATATTGAGGCTAATGGATCATATTTTGTCAATCAATTAGTCTTTTCTAGTGGAGTGGGAAGTTGACCCATAATTGTTGCAATTCATTTAAATAATGGATAAAGACCAGATATTCTCTTCCTTAGTTATTGGTTTCATAAATCCCCAGGGGAGCCAGGTAGGAAAATATATATCTTCTACATCAAGAAGCATTTCAAGCCCAATCATTCTACATTCTTCCAAACCACTTCAAGCTTTGTTGATGTCTAAACAAGTTTATTTGACTGGCAAGGTAAAATAAAGCTTTCTTGTAAAACAGTGAACGGAATTCTATCTTGAAACAACTTTTAAGTCATCAAAAGAATATCATGATGCTTTAAGAAAAGCAGAATGAGAAGAAAAAAGTCAAAAAGAGAAAACTCAGGCTGTCTCTTGTAAAACAAAGTTAAAAGGGAGAAGAAAAAAGGGTTATATATCTGGTGTTTTGGAAATTAATTTACTAAAGAAAAAGAAGGATGACGGATTTAGTTTCCTCATTCATTTTAGCAGTTTTGATCTCTCTGACCAAGGAAAGAAGAGTGAAACATACCCCATATCAAATGGAACATGATAAAGCAAAACTAGGAATAAAAAATCCCCCTGTACAAGACTTAGAGTCTAAAGATTGAGTGAGAGAAACATAACTCATAAGCCATGAAATTAACTACCTTCATATATATAATATAATTATTCCAACCAAGAAACAGATGCCATTGCCACCTCCTCTGATTCCAATTAGTACAATGAGAAAGAAGAAGAATCACCCACTTGGGATGTGCTTGCTGATCTTGTATACTTCTTTGGTGAGGAAGAAGATGGTGATGAGGACATGTCTGACCTTCTCCGAAGCATCTGCCTCATCCCATCTGCTACTCTAACTGCAGGGTTGGATTTGAATTTGCCACAAAATGACATGTGAGCTCTCACAGCTTCTTCCATACCAAATGACTTGTTGCTGCCTTTGCTAACCTCATCTCTAACTGCTTCTGAGCACAACCCACATAACCATTTCCCATCAAATTTGGCCTTCACTTGACTGATGTAGTCTTGTGTGCAATCCTCTTTGAGTCCACAACACTCACACTTTACCTGCTCAATCTCCATTTTTGTTTTTCTTCTTTTGATCTCTGCTTTGCTGAATTAGCAATCTCTGAGAGATGAATATTCTTTTTTTTCCTTAAGTGCCAAAAGGATTCAAGAAAGGTGATGAACAAGGTATTGCAGATTATATGGATGTTTTTGTAGTTGGATTTGATTGCAATGATGGTGTGGAAAGTGGGTTTCTTTTCATTTCTTTTGTTTTTCTTTTGATGTGGTGTTGCTCACTTGGTAAGGATGCTATTGTTGCTTCAAGAACTAACAAGTGTTTGATGTATTGTATGAAAGCTTTTATGGTTGGATGTTGTATGAGAGCTTTTATGGTTGGGATTTTCTTTTTCTTTTTGATTGGTTATGGTTATTGGAAATTTAGGAGGGTGATAGAGACAAAACAGAGAGGGGAGAGATCGCTCTTATAAGGTGAGGGTAGAGAAAACTGCCATAATTTCCTCCATGTTCTAAGGGACATGGGGCAGTGGGAAATGAGACAAGAGTGGTCGGGGGGTCCTCAGGGTTGGCCCTTTCTATCATATGCAAATACTTAATTCCTATCCCCCCCACCCCCCCCCTAAATAAACAAGGGTGCGTAGGTTTTGGGTTGTAAATTACATCTCTCTCCACAACGATTATGACAAAGTCGTGCATTTTAGAGTCCTCGCACAACTAATGCTAGTATAACTCTTTTATATAATATAACACGACTGACGCTGGTATAACTCTTTCTATATAATATAAATTTCTTACTTTTTGGTAGTTTTAGTGACAGTTACTTTCGGTTGAAATGGCTTGTAGTGAATGTGGCTTGCCTTAGCTTCTGTCTAGCTTTTGGCTAAAGCTTTGGCTTTGGGTAGTTTGTTTGGTTATCTTTGTTCCATGAATGTGTTGACTTAACTGCTGACCATCTGACTTCCATTTACTATAGTAATAAAGCCAACATCACTACCATGCTTTGTTGACCAAACAGGCCTTGGGTGGTTCAACAGCCAATGATTGATCGAGAGGTGCATTATTAGGGGTTATAATTGTATGTTTTGCCCTACACACTGCCCTCCCTCCTTGGACATTCTTATGGAAATGAAATGAGAAATATTTTCCTCTCCTTTCATCCTCTGGTCATGACAGCTGAAATGTGACATGGCAATTAGCAAGGGATAATTAAGATGAAACTTGAACACTTAATCACTATGTAGCCATTAGTTATTGCAATAATTCAAACAACTTTGTCCTCCTTTTTTCTTTCAAGTGTCAACAGAGGAGAGAAGGTATGCTCATGTGCTATAGTCAAAATTCACAAGTGCTGTTGTTTTCTCCGCCCAGCAAATCCCACCCAAAGAAAAGAGAAAAGGGAAGGAAAAAGAAAAACAAAGGCAAATGGGATTGCATGCTTGTTGTCATTGCATTGCTTTAGCAAATACTTTACTTTCTCTCTCTCTCGCACACAATTTTTTTTTTTTTTTTTTTTTTTTTTTTTTTTTTTTTTTTTTTGGTTGATGATGCAATGCAACTGTATCATGGTATCATTGAGAAGGAAGCAATCTATGATTTTTGTCCAGATGTCGAAGCAATCTATGATTAAGATTTTTCACATCTTTATTTTTTCTTGTGGGGTTTTTGAAGCTCTCATCTTCTCATGCTGCAAAGTTGCCATCACCTTCCATCCACAGTGGAGTTTTGTCATGTGTAGTAATGTTGACTTGATTTGGCTTGTGGGTTCACTAACTCAGCCCACGTATTGGATTGTAAGTGGTCAATTACAGTGGGTATGGATTAATAATTTGGAGGGTTTTCCTCCAAAAGGAAAGTGATGTTCAAGATTATTTTAACTGGGAGAGTTCAGTATTTGTCTGCTAGTATATATATATAGTCTCCTTTTATTGAGGGATCCCTCAAATTATTTTAGGAACGCCCTTTAGGGTACCATATGAATCTTTTTTCAATGATCCTAATTGTCTAATTTTCAAGTCTTCATTCATAGATCATCCTTGCAAAAAAAATATAAAAAAATTGAAAATCATGAAGACATCTAATTGAGACCAACAAAATCAATGAGTACGGTGCTTCAAGAAAGTACTTAAATTTCAATAATTTAATTGAATGGTCAAATGATATCGGATTCAAGTAATTTTTTGTAGAAATGGTCCTTGAATGAATATCTGGAAAATAGATGGTTTAGATTAAAGAAATACTATGGGAAATTGGCTATATAAGGGTGTCCCTCAAATAAACTTATTTGAAGGATCTCTCAACAAAAACTCTCTATATATATATATACACATATACAGTCCCCTTCTATTGAGGGATCCCTCAAATAATTTTATTTGAGAGACGCCTTTTAGGTTACCCTACAATTTTTTTCCCAATAATCCTAACCATCTATTTTTTAGGTCTTCATTTATAGATCATCCTTACAAAAAATTAGACAAATCGGAAACCGTTTTGACATCCAATTGTATCTTACAAAATTAATGAACACGGTACTTCAAGAAAGTACTAAAATTTCAATAACTAAATTGAGTGGTCAAATGATATTGGATTCAAGTGATTTTTTGTAGAGTTGATCTTTGAATGAATATCTACAAAATAGACGGTTCGAATTAGTGAAATACAATCCGGAGTGGGGCCTACAAGAAGTGTCCCTCAAGTAATATTACTAGGTCTGCTTCATCACTCTTATATATATATAAGAGATAGACATGGAGCTATATACAAGGAGTTGAAATGAATGAATGAGACAACTCATTGAAGAGGCAAAAACAAGGGGCGCACAAAGTTGTTTGCTAACTTTTGTTACATATCTTGCGACCAAAACAATAACAAAAACTTATGTAAATTTTCCCTTTTGTAAATTTAGTAACAAGGGACAATACACAAATGGCATTACCAAAAGGGTAATTTTTTGTTCTTTTATATAGGTTTAAGTCAATTTAGTTGTTAACCTGCCATTCAATTCGAAAACGAAAGTAAATTTAAGATTTCCTTCTTTTTCTCTTTAATTACATGACACAAAGAATTCGTATTTGAGATATCTTTTAATCATTTTCGTATTTGAGATATCTCAACAAATTAGAATTACGGAGGTGAAAATTCCGGCAAACTATTTCATTTGCCCTTTTTTCACTCACTGGACAGGGGTCATGCTTTCCATTTTCTGTCAACCATCTTATCCATAGTAATTACAAGATACCATTCTGATTTGACATAGTCATGATGACACGTTATTTTCATCATTCTGTCCAACGAAAGAAAACCTTTTCAAAAGGGTTTTCTTTTATTATTCACGCACAGACTCTGATATGACATAAATTGTCAAATCAGATTTTTATTTTCCTTTTCGATTAGCATTTTAAGTGGTTGTAAGGTTATTAACGTGTTAATTCAATATGATCTTTACTTGGAGAGATTTGTATTAAGTTAGTTGGTTATGTTAGTGTGTTTGTTCTCTTCACTTGATGAGTTGGAATTCTCGTCTCCGTAATTTAAAGTAATAGTTCACAGTATCATTAAATTTGATCTCTCATTAAGTACAAAGAAAGTGATAATCGACAATGCAAAGTTAAGCAGAAAAGCGAAAGAGATAATCACAATTTGTTGATGTTAATCATATATGTCCACCATCCCTTAATAATAATTTGCTAAATCTTTAGATATCAAGTGACGGACTACCTACTACTAATTGGAGTTTGATCCTACTAGTCCCTATATCAATAATTGGAACCATTGATTGAAAAACATACGTTCAAGAAATCTTATGAAGATTTAATCATGGATTTGTACATCTTAAGCAATGTTAGGCAGCCATAAGCACACATTTGCCACGCAACTTATAAGATTTGAATGGTGAACCAGTTGGGTTCTCGTATAGCTAGCGAAAGGGACTAAATCCCAACCTAGAAGATTAGAATGCACATGTCTATAAAAGGGAAACGTCACAATTAATGAGGACAATTAACTTTGGTTTTGATCCTTTGTACATATTATTTCTACAGTTCAATGTATGTACGCCACCTTGTTGACGTATTGTTGAAGAATACAAGTCCCACATCGGAAACTTAACTAAATGAAATACAATATATAATGAATGGTTCCACTACTAATGTAACCGAAGCCTTTCATGATAAAACTCCACACCTATTAGGCTTTGTAGGTGATTAAGTTGGGAACAATATCAGTATTACAACATAACATATGACAATCACGTTGTATAGTTCGATTGGATGCTTGTGTACATAGGGATGATCTCTTGACTGTTTGAGAAAAATTATCAAATAGGTTAGTTTGTTTTTGCATTTGTTAGTTTGTTTTTGCATTTGTAGCATCTTTACAGTTTTTGGATTTCCCTACTTAAGGAATTCTATATAATAAAAAATTGCATTATGTAGTCGTTGGTGTTAAAGATTGTGAATTCCACGTTGAAAACTTCATAAAATAAAATATAACATATATTAAATGATTCAATTATTAATAACATCAAGTTATTTTGTATAAAACTCCACACATGTCGAACTATACATGTAGTTAAGTTGAAAACAATATCTATCAATTTAGTAAAATTGGTTCTCTCTTTCTCTTTCCTTTTCTTAATAAATTAATATATAATAAATTTCCAAGTATATTTCCAAGTATAATAAATTTCCAACCATGTAATCCGAATAAAACCCCTACCCAATTTATAATGCAAGAGGAAGCAACCTAGAATTTGGTTTGCTTCATGTGAGTTGTCCTTCAACTTCATGCATAAAATAACTAGTAGTATATTCAATCGCAACATTTATAAGCCCGTATTTACAAAGCATGGGAAATGAAATGATTTTCCATTCCCAAGCTCCTTTTTTTGCTAACCAAACGTCCCCTCAGAGTCCTAAAAGGTCTATGAACAAGCCATGGGCAAGCATGTGGGGTTGCCCAAGTTGAAGAGAGCCCCAGTTGCCCAAAAACTGTGGCCAGACAAAGAGTCCTTGTCATGAAACCGGACGTTTTGAGTAGTTGTCTGGTAGATGTCCGGCAATTCTAGTGGCCACAATGTTATTTCCAAATTCCAACTGATATTGTTTGTGGGTCGATGGCAAGATATGGCCCAAACTCCAATATCCCTGCAACTGTTGCTTGAACACGAAGGAATTCATGGATATTTACACATAAATAAACATATATGGCATGCATTTGGGTTTTATCTGATACCTTTTTCTGTGTATGCGGCCAAACTCACTTCATTCATGATTTTCAGATTAGCTGAATGTGACCTTTTACATGTTAAGTAACAAAAATGAATGAGTTAGGTATATGTCCTAAAATGATGAAGTGCTGGCTTCTCGGCTAGGAGGAGTTGGCTTAACAAAGTAGACAAGCCACTTAAGAGTGAAAGTTTACCTCGTTTGATTAAGGGAGTTAATTTTCTCACTCATCTTTTATCCGCTTACACTCCCTTTGTTGAAAATTGTATGTTCCCACTTCTCTTTTGTCCTCTCACACTCCTTTGTATGTTATAGTGAAAAGTATATTAAAAAAAAAACAAAATGAGTGTAAGTGGACAAAAAGAAAGTGGGAAAATCAACACCCTTGATTGATTTGTCTGGTTAATTAATCTTAAGGCATAACTGAATCTTTGTGCTTTGTATTGGGATTTAGATACCCTTTTTAAGGCATTATTTTAACAAACATTGTTTAAACTTCTTCCCCATAATAATTTCCTGGTTTGGGATTTTTATATGCCTATATGCATTGTTTTGAGGTCAATGATTAATCACATGGGTTTCTTGTTTGGTTCCCATTATCATATGAAGTATTGTATGTTTAAGTATTTGATAGGGAAGGTGGAGTTTGTTCAAAAATTAATTGTCTTCACATGGCATTCACATGCACTCACTCTCCTCTTGCAGGCCTCCCTCCCTCCCTATAGCAGCTACCAAGAATTCTTCTCTCCCAACTCACCTAATGCCTGACCCCCAATGGTACTGATCAAATCAATCTTTTGGCACTTGCAAACTCTTTTTTAGCATAAGGGCACTTGCAACTCTAGTTTTAGACCAACCAACCTACTTCTTATCTTCAATTTTAAAAACAAAGACATAACCTAGTGCTTCATAAGGATCAAAAGACAAAGATGAATTATTCATTGTATACCGCTTGGGGAAAAAATAATTGAAAAACAAAAACCAGGATTAATAATAACTGTGGGCTGGACATTATTATGTGGGGCATGGAGTAGTTGGTATAGAATAGTATATCATGGTATTTTTAATAACCTTTAATTTAATAATTAAATCTGCCTCAATCATTTGGACTGGAACTACTGTTTTCAGCCTCTTATCTCCATTAATTTCATATTGAAGGCTTTTGGGTGTTGGCCATGCTGTCTGATCAATTGCATGAGCCATGGAGATTCTAGAAACTGGTGTTACCCAATCACACGTATGATATCCTTCCTTCTGCATTTGGAAACAACATAAAGAAATAATATTTCCCAAACAAGTATTAAAAAAATGCAAGCAGAGCTTTTTATTTAATGAAACACCATCAAATAATATTCAAAATTAATGAAGAATACCGCAAAAGTTTTTGGGTTTTTGTTTATTTATTTATAATATTGCTGATATATGCCAGTGCAGATCACTTGGACCTAAGAATTCACGGTGGTATCAGAATACCACATTACTTGTATCCCTGCAGGAAATTTGTATAGATTGATGGTTTGGATTGGAAACTTGCTAAATTTAAGGTATATAGAAGGAAGAAGTAAGGCAATCTCTCAAGCATTGCCCAAGTTGAAAGTAGAAAATAGATTAGTCGCGACTCGCGAAAGAAACTTATCTTTTCTAATCCCCACAAAATAAGCGATTATTTAACTTTACCTTCATTTCTTACTTCACCATACCTTGATCATTTGAAACTAAAGCCGTTGGTTTTGTTTGTAGCCAAGATGATTAGGATGACGTATTCGCTGGATTATGAACACTAATTAAAGAGAAAGCAGTCGTGTAATTTTGTCATATCAATCTGAGCCTGTTGCCTATCACAATAATGAGACAACATTGATTGTATCGAGACAGGATATCTAGATCGTATCGATACAATTCGACTATTTTCTACAATAATAGTGTTTGCCTTTACCTTTTCGTTTTCAGCTTAAATGGAATTCCAATCACTAGCATACCCTCGACTGAAAAACTACAAATAATAATAAGGCAGAACAGCACTGGGATAACTTTCACAAGAGAATGAGCAATTACTGGAGGCTGCATTTCTCATACTACTACACCAATTAAAAGTATTAACTCCTTTCAAACAAAAAGAAAATAGCACGATCAATCTACACTATGTCTATCGGGTGATATCTACAAAATTCTCTCTTCTCGTTCTTGTTTATGTGTGAGTTACAGTATGCGCAAAAGACTTACAAGTTAAGCTTAGGAGTGAAGGAGATCCTCAAAACGGGGATGTAAATTAACCTTGGATTGGATGAGGTTAGGGGCAAACAACCAAAACTCAATTAGACTTCATCTCAATATCTATATCTTCTGTACTCTCCTCTGGCTTGGCATCAAGATGATCTCCCGGAAGGAGGCCAAGGAGTGGTAAAGGCAACAAGGAGCTGAGGTTGCACAGGATGATCAACAAGGCCAAGTTATCATATTGGTCTTTGGTTATGCCAAGGAGCTGGGTCAGGCCAGCACCCATGAGCCCTCCAAGAACACTCCCTGCATTTGAAATGGACATGAGGGTTGCAAAAAGTGTTGCTTCCACTCCCTCAGGGCATAATTTAGCAGCCAGCACGAGAACAGGCATGAAAGAAGCCTGTAACAAAATAGGAATTAGTTTGGCAGTAGAACCACTCACAGAATCAGTTTTGCAAAACAAGCATGTGGTCATCGTGAATAGAAATTGCATTCTTTATTCTCCTACGAGTCACTTCATCAGTTTAATTTCTTTGTCTATATGTGTACCTGACTAAGAACCGTAATAACCAAAGAATCCCCCATTGCAAACCACTCATCACTTATACCAAATTTACGGTTTAATCCAGTCACAAGGAAAACCTGAGACATAAGATCAATAGAAATTACAGAATTTTCATTCGGTCAATTCAGGGATGGAATCATTAATAGCCTTAAGCAAGTAACTTGTATCACAAACCTGAGTCAACCCAATAGCTGAACCAAAGACAGTTGTAACAAGAAAAGTCTTCTTCAGTGGAACAGTTTTCAAAAATCCATTATACAATCCAACCCCAAGCAGTGATGCTACTGAGGTAACAAGCTTGACACGTCCTAGAAATTCTGGTGTAAAACCAAGTTTGTTTGTGCTGAAAACCAAAACTTATTAGAATCGGATGCATTTATTGAGACAAAGTCAAAGCGTCTATGAAACACATGTAGCTTTTAGAAAGTAAAGAAGAATGATCACAATCATCAACTGGACATACGTGAAGTAAAACATGGCAGAGTCCGAATGAGGGGTTGCCTGCCACAAGAAAATAAACAATGTGGGAAAAAATACAGTGGGATGCCTAACAGCATTCCATAACTGAATAAAATTCTGTTTCCAGCTTTCAAGCAAGTTAGGACCAGCCAAAGCAAAATTTGTCCCCTTTGCCACACCAATCACAGGCTGCTCATTTACGAGAACAGCAACCGCAGATGTCAGCAGTGGTAGCAAAGCCGTGACACCAAAAACAAATCTGAAACATCAAAAATTGAAAAGAGGAAGGAAAAAAAAAAAGATTCCTTCAGATATTTATGAACAATAGGAAATTACATTCCAATACAGCAACCTTATGTACCTTACACCATAAGCATCCACCAAGGAGCCACTAAAGTAGGAACTCACAATTCCGCCAAAAGCTGAAGATCCCCAACACAAAGACTGAAGAGAACCTGACATACTTTGTGACTCACCACGAGCCCTCTCCACAACCATGGAATCTACAACCTACACCATACTTCAGTTTTGACATGGTTTATACAGTATGCCACATAAGGAAAACGACTGAACAAAAAATAAGACAAATTATTTCATGTCGGAGGTTCTGATTCTGCATTCAACCTTTTGACCAATGAAAACAACTAGGTCTAATTCATTTCCCCAAATTAAACCAGACAGTCTAGACTCTTTCTTCCTCTGCAACGATTTTAGGGCTTTTCCTCCCAATCTTCTCAAATTTTTTCAATGTTATCTTAGTTGGAATCTCAAAGGAGAGAATTGTGGATCAGAGCCACCTACTATATATATTCTCTCTTAGAGAGCATTCTTTTTTCTTTTTTCTTTTTTTTAATTTCATCATCATCTCTCTCTCTCTTTATACATACATATAAAAATTTTACTAATAATTATCAAACTTACCTAGTTACGTAACAGCATCTCATCCCTTCTATCATATAGACTGTTGAGATACACTAAATGTGTACATAACATAATCTAATATGTTCAGAGGATTTTCCATGTAGAAATCCTTGAATTTAAAGAACAATCTAAATAAATCATCAACTCAAAATTTTTACTGAAAAACCATGTTAGGAACATATTATGACACATGAGACAATATAGCTTTCCTTTACACTCAAACCTACGAAGGTAGTAACTAGCAGATACTTACCACATCAGAAAAGGCAACAGAAAGAGATCCAAGAATTATGCAGAAAGCAACGCTAAACTTGCCATCAACAACAGTTGCCATCAAGCTCCATGACAGTGCACCAAGAAGCCCTGACAAAATCAAGTATGACCTTCTTCGGTACCCAAATAGTGGGACAGAATCACTGCAAGGACCAAAAAATTGTTCTAAAACAAAAATTACAAAATACAGTAACAGAGGGCTAGCAAATTGAGATAGAGATAGCAAATAGATTCACACCTAATAAACCCATAGACAGGTTTAATCAGCCATGGTAATGCAGACAAGCCGGTAATCACAGCTGTCTAGTCAACCACGTAAAATTTGTCAGTAATCAAGACTACGAAAATCAAAGATAAATAATACCCTTATCGAATTTAAACAATTAAAAAGTACCCACAAATTAGTAATTCAAAGCCAGAATGCCATTATCCCATCAGCACCTTTTTCAAACTAATTAGGATCCTCAAAGTAAATTCTTTACTAATCAGTGCATACCAACATCAATTTAAGTTCACGGTTCATCAAACAAGCAATTGAAAAAGCTACAATCTACAGAGGGAATACATAAAAGAAACTAGTTCCACAAAAATGGAAAAGGTATGAAAATAAAGATGTAGATACATACCTCAGCAGGGTCTAGATGCAAATCGTCTTTTAAATAAAAACTGACAGCAAGCCTTGCAAGGCCAAGAACACCTTGAACAAAATACACCATGGCAACAGCCACATTGTCAGGAGACAAATCGACCCCGAAGAATTTGATCATTCGATGCTTGTTCTTGTAAGGAGCTGTTTTGCTAGGAGAAGGCATGCTTGTATCTCCTTCCGCATTAGGTGTCAACACATCCCTTTCTGCTGCACCTGGTATTCAGAGAGTGGCCAAAGCTAAGTAAAGCTTCAATCTTTATCACATTTTGCTAAAACCCAATTTCAAAAAATTCAACCAAAAAAAAAGCTTCAATCTTTACACTTAGAAGACTATGAAATTATCATAGTAACATTTCAATAAAAGGGAATTAAAGAAAAAGAGAAAGAGCTTACTAATCCTGGAACCGAGGAACGGCGCGTCGTCCAAGTCGAGCCGGCGAGGGGGTGAGGAAATGGGAACGGCAACCGACATGTCGTTATCGGGAAGACGCTTCCGACGAGTTCTGCGCCGGCGGCGAGTTCTTCTGTAGGCCCCGGATACGAGGGTGCACGGTTTCCGGCGGATCCGAGAGGCGAGGACTAGTGGAGCAAAGGAGGCTGAGGACAAAATTGGATTTGCTGAGGGTAAGATTGAGATTGAGCAAAAGGCAGCTGATCCCATTAGGAAACTAATTTAATACGGAACTGTACTTGCATGCTCTCTCTTGCGGGTGATGATTTTAAATTTTAATATTTAGATTTGTTGTGAAACGACGCAAGTACCCCTTTCGTTACGGTATTTCTGGCCAACAAATGGACACGTCCGGGTTGCTTTGCCGCCATCGCTGCTTCAGTCGATCAGCCCAGGGCCCAACCAAGAAGCCTTTGGGCTAGCTTCACCCAATAATGATGCGAAATGCTGGACTTAGGCCCAATATAACACAAAATGTAAACGAGAAGAGAAATGTGACACAAGAAGGAAGAATAAGAGACGAAACTAATAGCATATGTGGGTTAAGTTAGTTTGGTAAGGCATTATGCCATTCCTTTACATTCAAATTTGATTTTCCTCCCTAATTAATTAAAATTCATTACACTATCGCTTATATAAAAATAAAAAAATAAAAAAATAAAAGGATTATTTTAAATTGTAATGCATAAGTTTACACAACTGAACTCAAAGCATTATGTTTAGTGGGTTACAATTGAAAATACATAGCAATATAGGTTACGTTTTCTTTCTCCCACAAAAGCTACCTGAGTTGCAGTGCCCCTCCCCCACCCTGGTCTATAAATAAGAGTTTTGCCCAAGACACCAGGTAATAGTAACTTGGCACAAGTATTCTTACTTTGTTAAATTACTTATTTCCCTTCTTTTTCAACTTAGTTAAGCATCGAAAGGCATTTGGGTGGTACCACACCGGTGTCTAAGGTCTTATCGTGTTTTTTCCATTCTTCTTGCATATCACATTCCCTTATGCTGAAGGGCCCACAAAACCAAATGCATAATCATCTCTAAGTTGGGTCCACTATGGTCACCTCCAGCTCAAGCCCCCAGCATGGGAAAATAGCAGCCCCAGGCCCCAAACCCTCTTCCAACACTCAAGGTCTAGCCGGGGCAAGGAGCGGGACCCACCAGCTCAAGCAAGCCCACAGGCAAAAATTGACAAGGTTGTTGCTCGAAGGCTACTGACGTCAACGGCTGTTTTTCAATCCAATGACTATAAGCCCCGTGGCTTCTCCTGGAGCCTCTGATCCAAAAATCTTATCCAATCCAACGGTTGTCCAATTTTTGGCTATTAAAAAATTTGTAAAAAATATCAAGAAATTATGGAATTTTTTTCTATAAATACCTACCAATATTATTCACTTTCCACACCAAATCTTCATACAAATTCATCTTATTCCAATATTTTTCACTTTCCATACCAAATTTTCTACTACAAAATTCCATTTGTGCAAAAACATAAATGACCTTTTCCATCGAAGCTGGAGGATCATGGACAAATGTTCGAATAGGTCAAAATCTTGGCGACGAGGTAAAAATAAATAAATAAAATTGCCCTTTAATTCAATTTAATGTCATTTTTTAAAATATATTTATTGCATTTCCAATTTCTTTTTTTAAAATAGATTATTCAAGGCAAAACAAAAAAGAGGAAAATCATTACACATGGCTCCTCAAGTGAACAATGCCCGCAGTCGGTTTCAGTGATGCATTCCGTGTCGAAAATAATGACACTATTACGTCATTCGAAGGAAAATACTCCCCCACGTTATGATCCAGTGGAACTGCCTCCACCAATTATTGAGTCGTCCTTATACTTGATTGTGTCGGGCTATGAGGATCGGGAGTATTTGAATTGTATGATGAGTAAGTAGATATTTCAATTGTATGATGAGTGAGATGTGAATTTGTAATAAATATGGACATGTGGCAACCGAAAATCTTATCCAAAAATTTAATCATAAAATTTTGTCCGAAAATCTTATCAAAATTAATGGTTTAAGTATAAAAAAAAATAGAAAATAAATTAAAATGAATAGTGTTTGCCTTTGCCTTTGCCCTTTGGGGTGAAGGTGCTATAATAATTGTTGACGCAGAAAAATGGTTTGACACTTTCCCGCGCAACTTAGTGATATTGGGCCTTCGGTATGCTCTGGGCTTCGGCAGTATGCCGTGAGTTCTGATTACCTCTATTTTGGGGAATTGTGCTTCTTTTATAGACATTGGGATGTGTGCAAGTTGTGTAGAATTTCGATGTGGGACTGTAGACATCGATTGTGGGCTTGCCACGAGTCCTAGGGGAGGAGGTTGCCCTAATCGTTGGATCGGTAGGCTGGGTGCCGAAGGCAGGTGCCGAAGGCTACCATAGACCCAATCTTGTCCACGCTTCCGATTCTCATTGGCTGTTCATTTTGGTATAAACAATAATCATTTTTGGGCATCAACACACCTTTAAGAGTTGGGTTACAAATGAAAACATCCGATGGAATGATCGAATATTAATGCCCAATTGCATTCATATTAGTGAAACTTGTATGTAACAAGTGTATCTCTCTCACAATAAGTGGTCTCATGCTAGAATGTTGTAATAGGGAGAGTGTAAGACATGTTACATGTAACTTTTTGTAGTATAAATGTGACGTGTTGCTCCATTAGCTCTATTAATTTAAAATATGGGATGTTACTACCTCTAGTTATGACTAGGGAGTCCTTTGTTATAAGCTACAAGTAACTAACTTCCATTTCCACTTTTATTCTATCTATGTTCATTGTCAAGACATGTCAACGTATTTTGTTTTTCTCTGAAATGTCACTCTCGTTTGGTTTACATATTGGAGTTGGAGGTGTGATGAATGATCATGCAAGCAAACTTGGCTCTACTCTCGTTTTCAATATACACCAACATATATATATATATATATATATATATCCTACGTTATAGGAGAGAGAGAGAGAGAGAGAGAGAGAGAGAGAGAGAGAGAGAGAGAGAGAGAGAGAGAGAGAGAGAGAACTTTAAAATATGATTCTTTGCTTATGTTATAGTAAGTCCAAAATCCATATCGTCTTGGACTTTAAAGTTTAGTATTTATAGTTTATATTCAAACAATAATTAGATGAAAGTCTAAAACCGCATAATTTTAAACATAAGCACAATATAATTTATAAAAGCACTGAAAACACAAGTAGAGGATTTAGTCCTTTTATTTTATTTTTAAGACGAAAACTAAAATTACAAGGAGGATCCTCTAACGTTATTTTATAGGTGCGTAGGGTACAAAGGAATAACATTTAATTCAGACTACACAAGTTCAATTATATGGGGAAGAAATGCGGCAAAAATATAGTCTTTTGATGAAGAATTTGGATCCCAAGTGAAATGTACAGAAGTCTTTACCAAGAAAGAAAGGTAGGTAGATGTCTTGATGTCTTACTTTGAAAATTGGACTTAATATAAAATTAGCCTTATGCGGAATTATTCCCTTGAAATCAGTCCAAGAAACTTTTTTCCCTAAAGTACGCACTCTTGCTCAGAGTGCTAATCAAAGCTCCCAGAATATGAGAATAATCTAATCAAGAAAGCTTTGAAAGATTGTATTAAAAGAAGAAAAAAAGAAAAAAGAAAAGGGCAAAGTGTCAACATGTGTTGAAACAGACATCGTTTATGAAAAGAAAAGAATCTACTTCAACCGAGATCATTGGCACTATGGACAACAAAAGTAAACAGAGATCACTGCTAGCTTTTGTCATGCATCATCTTCATCATCATCATCACCAACAACACCAAAGCTTTGAAACCCAACAACAGTTGCCAAATTATCATTTCAACAAAATTTAACTCTACAACATCTCAGCCTTTCATTCCCTCCTCTACAACTCTCTCTACAAGGAGGGGAAAGCAGAAAGCACAGAGAAAAAAAAGAAAAATGGAAAATGAGGGAGAGCCTAGAGGAAAAAAAAAGTAAGGGAAATGAAAAAGAAAAGAGATACATTTTCCCAGAAAATTCAACTACCACTTTGTCTTGCATGTATCTGCAATTCATAGATTATATTTAATGACACAAAAGACTAGCTTTCCCTATTATTAGAACCAAAAAGAAAGGAAAAAAAAAAGAAGGCTCTCTCTCTGTTGAAGGCAAGACAGATATTTGGAGCTTTTCCAGTGAAGTGTCAGGAACAATTTCCATAGGCCCGGTCAGCTCACAGTTTATCCACTCCCTCCTCCTCCAACAACATCTCCTGGTAACGACATTCACGGCTGCAGAAGGCCTTCTCACCTCTGCAAGAAAACCCAATTTGACACTTGAATGGATTGCTTAAAATTGTAATTGGCTGCATAATTTTATTATTAGTTGGTTGGATTGGATGGGATTGGATGGGTTTATTATATAGCAGAAGATACCCTGAATAATATTGGATCTGTAGTTCTAATATATTTTTAAGTAACCCCAATCCATAATTCTATTATAATATGAATTTATGATTCTAGTATAATAATATAAGATTCTAAGATGATACAATTTGAGGTGGAGTCTCAGCCATGACATCATATGTTATGCAACTAATAAGCATGATCCAAGGCTAAGAAAAACATGAACATTGGATTTCATGTGAGAGGCAAGAAAACATGAACATGAACATGAACAGAACAAAATATGAATCATATGATTAAAGAACAAAAAAAAATCTGAAAGTACTGAAAAATAAGATTGAGCTAACCTGTACATGAAAATATCTTTGCCCGGCCCGAGATTCTTCTTGCAATTGTCACAGAAACTGAGGAAACTCTCAGACAGATAGCTTGAACCATTTACCTTCCCGCCTGGAGAAAATTCAGGTACACCCTCAGAGCTCTCCACAATGCAATTGTCAAAGATATGAGTGGTTTTTGGGTTTGGACCATGGGAAATCACACAAGTATAATCTTCAGAGAGCTCCATTTCACTAACAGAGAGACAGCTTCGGAAAACCCGAGCCGAATTCATGGTCTCAACGCCTGAATTCGCAGATTTAAATGGGGAATTCTTAGCTGGGGACTCAGATGAGACAGAGGAGAAAGAACCCAATTGAGAATTCTTGGTCCTGATGCTGAAATCAGCTGCAGATTTTGGTGAATCAGAAGGTGAGAGAACAGAGGGCTGCAGAGGAGGGATTTGAATCTTAAGCTGTGACCCAAAAATAACCATCCGGCTTTCGGGTTTTGATGGTTTTGGATTAGAGCCATCATCATTGAGAGCATCAACAATGGCAAGGCCAATGCCTTTGGGGTCCAATTTGTCCCATGGGCGTTTGGTTTCAGGTTCTGGAGTTCTTGGGGTGTTTGATTCAGACCAGAAGGGGTTTCTTAGACCAAAGAATGGCTTGGTTTCGAGTATGGAAGTTGGGCTCATTACAGCGTCGGTTTCAGAATAACCTTTTGAGGTGAAACTAGTGAACAATCTCGGAGAAGTGAAGAAAGACGAATTGGGTTTTGTGTATTTCTCTGCCGGGGAGGGTAGAGAGTTATTGTCTGCCATTAGAGCTTGCTTTCTGGTCAGTATAGCTATATAATTTCTCTGCAAACAAGAAAAAGAAAATACAAATGCACCCAAGATGAGAACTTTAATTCGACTTTCAACTTTGCTTATGAGAGAGGGAGAGAGAAATTACAGAGAAAGGTGAGGACTTTTTGACTCCCAAACTGCCACAGATTGAAGGTGAAACTCCAGAATACAGCAGAAGATTGTGACTTTTTAAGCTCTATGGTGTTAGAGAATGGTGGATGAAAGAGTGCTAGTACTACAGTCAAAACAACCATCTTGAGAAAACCCAGAAATCAGAACTTCCAGAAAAGATTCCATGAAACTATTCTCTGCTAGAACTCTGTGACCTCCATATCTAAAGACTGAGAAAAATCCCAAGGGAAAAAAAGGTTTAAAAAATGCTCACTGCTTCCGCGAGTTTCTCGCTCTTCCTTCTCTCTTATCAACTCTGTCAAGCAAGAAAGAAAAGAGAGAATCCCCAAAAGCTCAAAACCGACATGCAAAGAGACCCTCTAGAGTCATGATCAAAGGACAAGACGTGCATGCATCAGACAACAGAACAAAGAAAGTTTGTATTTTGTTCCTTCTTTTGCTTGTTGGGCTCAGCTTTATTTCCACTTTCTTGTTTTTGTTTTCTTTTATGCTCTGGTTTTGTGTCCTTGCTTAGTACTAAGCTCTCAGCAAAACTGGTTTATCAGAAAAATGATTCAGATTTTGGAAGCAAACAAGGGCCAGCCCAAATTACAAAGTTAAAAACAACGGCTGGTCATGAATAAAAACCCAGAATGAAAACAAACAAAAAACTGGTCATGAAAGATGATCAATTGATCATCGTTATGTGTGTGCCCTTTCTCTGACTCTTTTATCTCTCTTTTCTTGGTGGGGTTTCTATCTCTTCTACTCTGTTTCCTTCTCTCTTTATTTGCCCACTAAATCAGTTTCTCATCATAACCCTGAAAAATCGAAATGGGAGTTGCAGAGAGACTCAGAGAGAGAGAGAGAGAGAGAGAGAGAGAAGGGAGGGAGAGAAAGCTCGTGGAGTTTAGGGGTTGGTGGGGTGAATATAAAGATGCGTGTGCATGAGAATCAGTGGGTTTGGTTTTGCGAAAACCACCCACGCACTGTCCAGGTTATAGATCGATCGATGGCAGTTTTTTTCACGGCAGTTTTTCCTTTTGGCCAATAATTTCTCATCACTTTCTCTCACTCTACAGTCCCACTTTCTACAGTCACCTTACATAATTATTGGATACATATTTTTATCAGTGGAGTTTTGAGCAACAGCCACGCGATTTACAGAGAAAAACACCCACGCACGCCAAGGCTTGACCAATCTCACATCATCAAGACCTTTAGCTCCACTCGGCTTGGCTGAGGCTCAAGCATTACAAGATTTTTATTTAAGAGCATCTCTAACTGATGTGTCAAAAGTGTCATATAGACATTTAACAGCTAGAAATAACATCTCACATCACTCCAACCGATGTGTCAAAACTGATGTGGAATGAAGGTTGGAGGTTGAGATGTTATTTTTGACATCTAAAAAACAAGATGTCAAATGAATCTTTTACTATTTTTAAAAGATAGCTGGCTATTACTTTCTTTTTTTTTCTTTTTTTTTTCTTCTTTATCTTAAATGATTTGATTGTTACAATAATTATTTATTTGACATATTGGGTGGAGTGTAAAACTGTGTAAATATCAAATTGTCACATTAGCCATCAAATTTAAATTTGATGTTTGGTATTTGACATCTCCCTTGAAGATGCTCTAAGTTAGTCTAGAATGAAAATGGTAATTGAGTTCATCTCGTTTTGCGTCATGTTATTTAGATAGTATCGTTGCGAATTTATGTACAAATTTATATCGAACACTATTGTTATGAAACTATGAGTTTACTTTTGTTTCTTATTTATAAGAACAATTTAGGGCTCGTTTGGAAGTGCTTCTTCTCGAAGCGCTTATGTCAGTAGCGCTTATGCCAGTAGTACTTATGACATAAGCGCTTCTACAAAGAAGCAGTTTGTCGTTTGGATGTCATATTTAAAAGTGTTTTCCCAAAATATTATAATAAACATAGGAAATAAAAATTAACAGGATTCCAAAATAAAAACACGGCTTAAAAAAGTTGTGAAATGTAAAGATAGTGATGGATTAATAGAAGCTTAAAGGTTTCCATGGGTGTTTTGGCGTCTGATAGGTTTTGGCGTCTGTTGACCTTTTCGCAGGTAATTTTTTGGTTTTAATAGGAGAGAAAAAGAAAATTAAAAAAGGGTATCTTAGCATTTTTTTTTAAAAAATATGGGTATTTTTGGCATTTTAAAAGTTTCATTAAAGGGAGCCAAGTGCTTCCCTTGTTTTTGTCATGCAGTGCTTCTTCTAAAACCACTCTAAGTGCTTTTGGATCTCACTCAAAGCGTTTTTGCAATTTTTGCCAAACACCATTTTTAAAAGACAGAAGCGCTTTTCGCTGCTCTAAAAGCACTCCCAAACGAGCCCTTAATCTCTGTGAGACAATTGTTGTTGGAGCATCTATGTATTAATAGCCGACTTTATTTATTTATTTTTTATGAAACCTCGATTTTACGAGGAAAACTATATTGATGAACTTCAAAATTACAATGGAGACATAAAGCCTACCCAAATCCGTAGAATCACAAAATAAAGGCGTCTTGGGATTGTAAACACTTGCATTTTCAATGTCTTGTCTATTTTTAGAAGTAAAACTATAATAAATAGATCATATGATCTATCAACAACAAAAACACACCAAAAAACAAAACAAAAAAGAATCATATGGTCTAACATATTATACATCATTTGTGTATTTATTAGATTATTCACTAATTCTTTAAGCTTGACCCCCTCCTAAGTATGTATCAATCCCAAATATTTAGGGCACGTTTGGTATTCAACTTGAATTCAACTTTTTAAACTCAAAAACATAATTTGAATCCAAAATAAAGAAAACCTGTTTTGTTGCCCAATTTTTTAAAACTCAAACTCAAGAACAACTAAAAAACACCCCAATTATTAAAAACAAAAAATATCTGTTTTTTCAGTTTTTTTCTAATTCTCAAATTTTTATGATTTGAAAATAGTTTTTAAGTTGCATACCAAACAAGTTTCTGAATCTTAAAAATAGATTTAAGAACTCCTTATTTTAAAGAAAAGTCAAAGTTTTTAAGTTCCCTATTTGAATAGGATACCAAACGCCCCCATAATTATTTGTGTCAAATAACTCCATGATATTAATATCTCAACTAATTAATTAATTATTCTTAATTATATATAAACTTATCACTCATATAATTTTTTTTTAAATTTTAAATAAAAAAAATTCACTTCATTAGAGTATAGAATTTGTTTGCTTTATCATTTGGGCTTCGCCAGCTACCATACCACAAAAGAAGAGGAAAAAGATTTGTAGTGGTATTCTATGATTTTTTATATTCTAAGATGTTGACAATTCTAAAGTTTAACTTGAGAACCAAAATTCAATCTGTCAATAATTTTATGATCTTGGTTGCGTCGAGGTCTCATGCATCTAGGGTGTGTAACATTTGAGGGAAGCCATTTCCCGGCCTCGGCTAAGCGGCAAGCGGCAAGCCGCTAAGTTTGTGGTCTGGTGGGCCCCGCCGGCCCGCTTACATCGGTGTGGGAAGTTCACGGGCGGTGCTGTAGAGTTGTAGACGTAAAATCCAAGACCGGGTGTCCTGAGCTAATAACGTAAACCTAATGCGGGTCCCACCTAACTCCCAGTTAAGGAGTCCCCGACTCCTGGCCCCACAAGGGGTCCTACACCTCATCATGTATCATTATCTTGCAATTTCTTATTTACCCCATTAATTATAATGAATTGACAGTATTAATATTATTGGTTCGCCCCACCATAATAATAATAACCCATTATAAAAGAAAAAAGAAAAAGAAAAAGAAAAAGACTTTTACGTACCTGCTTCATTAAACGGGGGCATAAAGAACCTGGAGGGCCCGTTTGGAATGATGATGCCCAATTAATGAGTACATACAATGACAAAACAGAGTATTAAATATTTTTACATAAAAATAAATATTTTCACTTTTATTTATTTTATGTTTTTTTTAATAAAGGATTTCTAGTCAATTTTTAGAGAGGTGGATTGGGCAACCAAAACTGGAGCTCCTTTACTTAGATCCTAGCAGCAAAAGAGAACAAGCCGACATTTGTCATGGGTCAAATAGAAAAATAATTATGTTTATAATTTCGGCCGTGAAACTTACGGTCGAGAATTGTTCTCTCTCAACCATAATCGTTTTGAGCAAAATCGGATCAAACAAGTGTAATCTACAAATTCATGCATCTATCAGTATCGTCATCAATCGCACGGTAATCCATGCTGGCACGCCCACGCACATTTCATTCAATACAAAGTAGGACGATTGGTGTTGGCACATATCCCCTCAATCTGAAACGTCAGGCTGTAAGATTTGCACAGCCAACACATGAATTATTCTCGTAGTTTATATGAATTTTCACATTCATCTTTGTAGAATTCTTTTTTCTTTGAGTTCCATCCTTATAGTTTTATTATGTTTGCACCGTGCTTGAAAGAAAATGCTTAAACAAGTCGACAAGTCCTCCAAAGTTTTCAACTTTTTTCTTTCTTTATAATGTTACATGTACTACATTTACTAATCATATCCCTCATAAAAATAAGACCAATCTACCACGTGAGTCCAATATGTAACTAGTATATCTACACAAATCAAATCCTAAGATAGCATTATAGCTGACAAGATCATCATTGTATATTGCATAACTTTGTTTAATAAGATAAGTTTTTTTCCTCTATTATTAGTCATAAATAAATGAAAGACAAATTAAGGCTAATCAACATCTATGAGTTTATTAATGCAATATGGTCCACAAGAAATGATTAATGAAATATTATTTAAATCATAGCGGCAATTGTGGTACCTAAGGCAGGATTTCCTCCTTAATCATTCATATGACCATGAATTTTTTTTCAATTGACTTCAATCATGTAGCACAACGCACTAAAAAATCTTGAATGTCAAATACTCAAATGGGTATATCTCTGATTGAATTCCGTCTCACTCATTTCGTTTCATTAAAAAGAAAATTGCGTAATGACACATCAATTATAACCTAACCCAACCTCATGACACATCAATTAAAACCTAACCCAACCTCGCATTACTGATTACTTGTCGTGTGTGCAGAATAAATTCTAATTTAATCTCAAATTTAATAAAGTTTCACTCTTTTTTT